TTCTCCGTGGTTATAAACACGGTTACCCATGATTTATAAGAAAACTTTAAATAAATTTTCCTTGAACCAGTGGTCTTCTTTTTCTTGGCGAAGCATCTATTGAGACGATTAGGTAGCAAAGTAGAATGTTTTGTGATTGAGAATCGTAGTCGTTGTTTTTCGGATTTATATCGCGCATCTAATTGCTATAACCCTATGGAGAATGCTTTTTCCTCATGGTGCATTATGATATCTAGAAACCATAAGCACACTGCCTTCGATAAATTTATTTTTACTTTTTAAATGACAGCAAATAGTGAGTCATTTGAGGCGATAGGATAAATACCTCTAAACGCTTTCGTGAAGAGATTAGGATATGTTTATTTTCTCGACTAGGAGACGATCTTTTTACCCAGAAATCTCTCAGGATGTCCGCTTTTACTTTGTAATTCAAAGATAACGTTGAGTTGCTCACTTAGGTAGTAGCAAGGGGGTAGCTTTAGGTAATGCGTCATAGAAGTAAGCAGTGTATGTCTATTGTGTCTAAATATATTAAACGTTGTAAAGCCGGTCAAATCGTAGTTCTTACATATTAGTTAGTTTTTTAAATAATGAGTGTACCGTGCTAGCGTTTGTGCTCGAAACGTCATCAGTTAATATAACTGTACAACACTGTCTGATTTATCAAAATAAAATCTTATCCATAATGGAGTTATACTCGACCACAGTGCCCAAGTTTTATACTTATATCAGCGTTTACCTTGGTTTGCATACCTAGCTCATGCATGCGTGTGATATACATATAAGGCTTATACGCTGTTTGATGAATTAGTCCGAGATACTTAAAGTCAGACTTGAGCTCTATATCACTGTCATCAATTTTGCAACGGTCATAGGAATTAACAGCTTCACCTGACTTTCTCTTACATCGGAAACTGAAATTGACAGTCTGACATTTGGAAGGATTTAGTTTAAAAGCATTTTCTGACTACTAATAGAGAGCTGTTCATCGTAGTACAGTGTAGATGCGAATTAAAAGACACCGGAATAGTTAGTCCGCGCACTTGACATATTTGATTTCGTATGCGTATGTACATTAAGTTCGTCAAACAAAAATACAATTGGTACAGGACGACTATAATGGAGAAAATGTTGTGATGCAAGACTGCAGCTGCATCTAAATTACTTCTACTGTGTTTATAGGCGAATCATTTGAGATCGTTAAAGGCTTTAAGTGAAGGTTGAAGATTAAGTAAGAGTAACTTTTCCATAGCTTTTACAATAGGGGAGGTAATAGCAATAGGTCTAAATTTAAAACATGTTCCATTAGACGACCTAGGTACAGGTACAATTTTAAAGTCCTTCCAAACGGCTGGCACGACATTTCTGGAAAAAGATTCATTAAATATGTGAGAGGATATCTGTATATTTTTTAAGAATAAGGCTAGGCAAACAATCTGGAACTACAAGAAGGGTTCAACGACTGGAGATATTTTAGAACGTCATTTAATAATAATAATGATTTACTAAGGTAATGATAATACTACAAGTGGAAATTGCCGTGGGCTTGTTTCACACAGTATTGTCGATGCGGTATACAAATCCTTGCATAATTAAAAATATTGAATATGATGTTCTCTTTACATGATATGGTGAGGGAAAAAACAAAGATTACAGCAGTCATAGAGATAAGTTGGTGTTTGCAGTTATGAAAGTGAAAACAAAGAATCAACAGGACCATAAATATAATAGAAATAATAAAAGTAAAACTTGAAGGTATGTAAAGATGGATGGAGGAGATTGTTTATTTACTAGATGAAAAAAGGTTTGTATTGAAACCAAGGAAGCAACTCTCATTAACACTTGTGACACCAGAAACCTTGGTATTTGTGGGAGAATGTATGAATGCCTTGTTTACCGTACACACATCAAATGAATAGGATATACTGTTGTAATACTGGAGGAAATCAGATGCATAAAGGCGTAAGTTATTTAATATTCATAAAGTAGATATGCAAACACCGCAGTTGTTGATTATAGAAATGATGGATATTAGATAACATCACATGATTCAACGGCATATTAGAAATAGATGAAAATTGTTTCTTTGCTCACTGTCAAGTGAACGGTCTATCTGGTGATGTCACTGCATATTAACAGATTAGTGAAGTAGCTATCAAGCCTAAGTCATTAAATTTATTTGTACTTCATACTTGGCGTTTAACAGTGTACAGAATTGCAACTGGCTAGATAAGGCGATTTTAGCGTATCGAACAGTACAGAATTATTATTCAACTTGCTAAATCCTATTTAGTTTTTACAATGTGCTACTGTATAGAAACAGACACGAAATCTTACGAAGGGCTAAAGTAACAGTCTCATAATACTATAGTAAATCTCCATCCCTCTAACTAAGCTTAACATACATTGATCCGAATTCACTTATCACAAAAGCACATAGTATAGCGACGCACTGAAAAAGTCTAGAGGAAGTAGAATTGAAGAGTATATTAAACATTTCATTAATTTACAAAAGAAAATCACGATGAAGAGCATTAACGTTAGTTTGCCCGGATGATATTTCCGCTGGTTTCATATTCGACAACTTCCGTATACCTGAAAAAAATAAAGCACATGTAAGGACTGGGACAACATGAATTTATGAAAGATAATTCTACATATTAGCACACACTGAATACACTGATTCTGTTAATACTAAGTAATATCTCATGCAAATAAATGTATATGTAGTTTTCAGCTGGTTTTTATATTGGCACTATAAGCATCAATAGACCTCAAATGTTTTCCAGTATTAAAGGATAACACGCAAATATCAAGACAATCTTTGAAGCTTCCATACTGTTGAGGCGTCATACTCTCATTAACCTTAGTTGCAGATCAACTTCACACTGAATACATTTACATTAAATGAAGTATTGCAAATGTGTAACATGGAAATTGATCCATAATCTCAGTAATGTCTAATGAGCATAGTTTTATGAATCCTACAGAAATTACATTCTCATATTTAGGAATCTATAGCCATCAAATATAAGCTGAACATGCTTCAACTCTAAGCAACTATGCACAGTGTTAGCAGCATAGAGAAACACTTAAAATATTGTAAGATACGCAGACCTGTTGTGTTGATGAGGATAACAATGACATATAATGCAACCTAGACATTCGATCGTGACACTGCATCTGTACTGCTTCATGTTAATGGAAAATTCAGGAAAAATTCATCACCACTACTGGTGATCAAAAACAGTGCAGCATTAAGTTTACAGTGCCAGTGAGAATGGCACAACAGACAGTAGATTGATAGTAATAGAGCTGACTAGATTCAATTCTCATAATAGACACAATCCATGTGTATAATAATACTATACACTGAATTAATGCACTAAGCGACACAGTAAGGAAATTTAAACGAGTGATTGCCTTCTCGACGGCACTGCACTTGCAATAATCATGACAACCACCTACGTTTGCTAGCCAAGCAGTCAGCTAGGGAGACAATGGCACAATATAAATAAAGTTGAGGTATTTTTTATACATTGAGTCCACATAACTCATATTACACTACACCAAACAGTGCAAATATACATGAAATCCACTTAGAAATAACCTCTCAACTTACGATAATTCCTGTCCAAATATACATATGGTGAGACAAATCCACATGATTACTTCTATTCCCACAGAAGGTTCTGTTAGCATTTACAGGTGATTTCGAAGTACTGATAGAATTCTTTTGTCAAAAAGGACTGTTCTTCACACGAAAATAGGCTGAATTAATATACTGATACGTGAAGTCTCCATTGAATGATACCATGACGAAAGGTGCAGCATCTAAATAAAGTAGACTATTTGTGTAGATGAAATTACCCTTCAACTATCCTATCTTTCTCACTATAGCGATATTTTGCTACAGTTCGCCTGAAACACTGATCGTTGCAGCCAATATGCTAGAGGGTGTCGCAGTCAGATTACATGACGCGGACACCAAAATAACAGGCCAGAAAATGGGAATTCTCATCAATCCAGATGACATATAACACAATTTCATTAAAAATTATTGACAAAAAAAAATTTCCAAGTGAAATTTTAACAGCGCTACTAGAACATGGCATTTAACGTCTACCCAATTAAGATCTTTAAACCAGAATCAAAAAGGCAAGGAAAACCTTTATCACTCTGATATCAGTTTGGAAATCTGTTATACTCATCATAAGGAACGAAATTCATCTTTTCAACACCATTGTTATGTCAGTTAGTGATAGTGCATCGGTTAGAAACTTGGCGGACGCCTCACCAAAAGCATTTCCTACAGCCCACTGCAGACTTTTACTAGCAGCTTTCATTGATGGCTCCTTACTAAGGGCCAGATATCCGGTAAGTAAGATTTAGCAACAAGAAAGTTTGGGAGCGCATAAATCAAGATCCTACTTCTCAACAAATACGTAGAAGTAAATGGAGTCACATTGGGCATACCCTGAGACGTCCGTTGAATGGTATCTACAGCAATGCAGGGCATCGCTGGAGTGGAATGCAAGTGGGAAAAGACGAGTGAGGCATAGGTTCGAGGGGGACATGCAGGAGATGATGCTTAGAGGAGACGAGAGATGATGAGTAACCGTTGACTCAGCTGAAGAGGAGAGCAGAAAATAGAACAAAATAGGGATGCGTTTTTGAAGCCATACGTCCCACTGGAAAGCCAAGGAAACAATAATAGTATATAATAATTGATGAAAACTACAGTAATGTTAAATTTGAAAGCTATGTTTCCCTTTTTAGGATAGACTTAGGGCGTATTGCAGACGTTTCGGGGCAGAAATCGGGCGCATTGCAGACTTTTTGGGGGCAGGCTTAGGTTCAGTGTCCCACGTTCTGCAATGCGCCCGAAGGTTTTGCCCCAAAAAATCTGCAGTGCGCCCGAAAATAATGCTGGCTGGGAACCTGACTCACCTGGCAGCCTATGCACTGTGCAGTAGTGCTTAAATTCAAATATGACCTAATTTAATTTCAATACCTAATCCTTTTGTTCAGTTCGAGTTTCATAACTGAGTTCCTTTAGCTTTATTTCATTAGCCTGAGAACCTGAAGGTCAATATTGACGTCTCCGTAAGGAAGTTCAGAAATAAACAAAGCGGCTTATTCAAATTTCGTCCTTCTTGAGCGGAATTTTGATTCACTACCAGGAGCGTTATATACAGACGTTCTAATAAACATCGTTTCGTATTTCTAATAAATGGCCTATAAAGTGCACATATTCAATACTTAAGTGACATACCACTTTGTCCCTGTAACAAAGAACAGTCTCTTAAAAAATATGGACAGTTTTATCAATCTATAATCTGTTTTGACATTCTTCAGAACCTGAAGTATGTCGGGCGTTCCTAATCCCACTGCTATAAGGTAAGATTTTGACAATACATTTTGTGTATGCATATGGCACAGACACATCCCCTGTGTGCTTCACACATCTTGATAATCCTTATTATTCTACAAGTAATTCTTTCGACTTACATTTTGGTAAACTTAAGTTAGGTTGCATTTCTGCCCGCCTTCGAAGTGTGTTTCAGCTTAAAATGCTGTTTTGCCTAAAGTCCGTTGATAATTCATACTTCAACCGTTCAACTAGTTTATTAGTCTTATTTTCTGTCTTTATTATATGTATTCAGTCCATTGAGACCTTTTTGCTGTTTCCGAAAATGTCATTCAGGGCTTTCCAAATCTATCCTCCTAATTGCTTAGTACTGCATACTTCAAGAGCTGGATATTTGTCTGAACATACGCTGATAGACTAAGGTTACGTTACGCTAATCACAATGTTAAAAGATTGACACTTTAGTTGTATTCATACAGATGTAAGACGGAAAGAATACTCTGACTAGTACCTTTAAAGAATCACACTGGCTATTCGGATAAGTCTAAAGGAGTACTGGTAACAGATAAGCAATGGGAGGATAGTTTGCGCCAACAGCTTATATTGTATAAATGGTAGTTATAATAAAACCCTTATTCATTTCCTTTTTCAGTACATTTTCTGTATGATCTTTGAAGTAGTACTTTTTCGTATCAACTGATACGTAAAACTCACTAACTCTCATTTAAAAGACTTGTGCTGTCAACTGTGTTTTTAAATTAACCTAATTATAGAGTGGAGAAGGTCGCACCGCCAATAACATCAGAAGTTTCTCAAGCACAAAATATCACAGTTGTTTCCCGTTTGCCCCCAAATAAAGGCATTCAGTATGCTCGTCCAGCGCACAATCTCATTACAGCTCCACGTGATTCAGTTGTTTCTACGGCTTCTGTTGTTGTTATACGACCTCTTGGCAATTCATCCACTCCAGTGAATGTAACTGCTGCTTCTACCACAGGTTTGAAAATCACTCCTATCGGTCCATTAAAAATATCTACCATTCAGTCGACATCGAATGCATCACGTCCTAGTTCCATAACATCTCAGCCGCAAAGTAGTTCAACAGCATCGCCTGCAAAGGTGACTAATCTCATCACACATTCCACTCAACCTCAGACTATCCAATCGAGTAGTGCCGTACTCAGTGGTTTGGCTGGAAATTCGAAAGTGCCAATAACAAATCAGACAGAGGAAAAGCAAACGTCTCAACGCAATATAATAAGAGAAATGCAGGTATAATCCAATATTTTCGATTGGGTGTTTAAATTGCCTAAGTTAAATGAATTCATTTTTAATTAAAATTATTTATTGTTGATGGGGAGCTTAGTTTACTGCAGAACTGTGGTTCATCGATCTAAGTGGTTGACTTCTTACCAAATAATTTCGGCCCTCAAATCTATTGCGTTTATCGAGTTTGAATTAACCAGGTAGTATAAGTAGCTAATAAACAGCATGCGCGCCGCATTACAGTTAACTAACTTGCACCTGGGTTTCCTCAAAGGATTTTTACTATGAAATGTAGAGCATGTCTTAATAGTGTTTGTTCCACCCTGTTTTGTTTTCGTATCGTTGTACTACTCATATTTGTGGCTTGTAACTCAACTCATGACACCATCACTTTAAATGTTAATGAGCAGACTTAAAATATGATACATTGCTTTAAAGTAGTTTCTTAGGCAGGTAAACTGCTTCGTTTGAAATATAGATCTTAAGAAAATGCTCCACTAACCAAGTATACATCTATTACATTAAGCTTAATAACATTGAAATCTCCCAAGTTATGCATTGAACCAGTTTAGCAGGTGCAAATCTACGACTGAATTAACAAAGATTCTGTCTCAGTACAATCCGTAGAAGGGTATAGAAGTCGTAAAATTAGGGGATCAAATAATATTTTTGCTTTTAGGAAACGTTGAGGAGTCGAAATTCACCTAAAAGCATTCTATGGTTGTCGAGTAAAAGGTAAGAGTAGATTTGTTTAGGTCTGTCACATCGTCTAACAATTGCAGACTGAGGATAGATAGATCGATAGATGGCATCAAGCATCTTATTGTCACTATATACTGTTTAATTAAGTAACGCTTATAGGATTTTTAAAACTAGTATTCATTATCGAAAAAGTTAACTGTTAAAGAAGAAAATAATTGCTTTTTCTTAAGAAATTCACATAAAACGGTGTTTAGTCTCTTCAATGGCTTCATTTATGTACACAGAAAACGTAGCATCATTTGTTTCCTTTTATTTATCACTTTGATGTGTTTAAATCAATGTGGATACTTATATTATGCCAGTGATAATAGTAGATAATTTGCTTGTCTTCATCTTTGGCCCGGATATCTGAGTATTAATATTTGACGTGAAAAAAAAACAAGTATGGCTTATAGCCTATAGGACAAATCTGTATTGCGTTTGTAAGTTGTATTATATTATTGTTTGCTTCTATAACTTGTTTTCACTTATTATTCCTAGTTTCACTGAGAAAATATATTAATTATGTAAAATATCAACGAAGCTTTGATAGGGTTAACATTTCCTTGTATTGGGCTATTAAAGAAAGGTATACACAATTTGAGAAGTTGATCGTCTCCAAAAAGTGGTTTGAAACCGGGATCTTAGCGGTTTCTTAAAATATGTATTCGGATGAGCTACAACTCAATGCGCATCTTAGAGTAAGACGTTTAAGTTTTTCTGCCCTTATGTATGTATTTGGCGTTAACACAGCAGTCTGTTTACATTTTAGGTTAGGGTTCCAAACAAGAAAGATAAGCGTTTCAGTGTGCTGCGTTTCCATGCAGCTGATCGAATTGATTTGTCATCAGGTCCTGAGGTCTTTATGCAACGCGAAAATAACCTTAAAGCTTTCCGAAGCTTGTACGGAACAACCGAAATGCCAGACGTTGGGGCTGGTAGTGAATTTGGCCGTGAAGCTAAAGAAGAAGCGAGGTTAAAGAAATATGGTGTTGTACGAGAAAGCTATAAACCAGACGATCAGCCGTGGCTAATGACTGTTGGGAAAGGCAAGGCTAATCGTCGTCGTTTCAGGGGAGTTCGAGAGGGTAGTGTATCGGAGAATGTAGAATACTTTGTGTTTTGTCAATGCAAAGATGGAAATTTCGATGCTTACCCAGTAAATGCTTGGTAAGTGAAGTTAATTTGTCTTGCAAATTAATATTAAAATATATACGAATTTCAATCAGTCTTGATGTATCAGTAAAGTACTGGTAGTGCTATGGGGGCTAGCTACATTATACCAGCTCTTATTACGAGCGTAGTTTGTCTAACTGCCCAATAAATCAGTACTCTACCTAACTTGTAAGCACTGACAACAAAACGCAAATCAGCCTCCAAAGCCTCAGGATGGTCGGGGGTGGGTGCCTTGCGCTGCGGGTTGGCCACCCTTCGCACACCTCTCGAAATGCTCCCATATGACCAGGCGTCTTACATAGCCTCTCCTGAGGAAGTCCTACTCACTGCCTTCACGTGGCGGAGGTGTTTTTCACCAAAGTGAGAGGGCGAAAGCGGATGCCCGGCGCTCTTCACCGGGTTGACTGTCCATTGGATGACAGTCTAGGGGAGATGGCTAAACCCTGATTCCAAACCTCCAATGACTGGCGTATGAAGCTCACTGGAGCTCATCGGCAGACGTATGGACAAAGGGCTTGTTGGATGTCCTGGATGTCTGGCCCCATTCAAAAAGGCGTATGAACCGAACTCCGGTCACCGGCTGCCAATGGATAGTGGACTCCCCACTCCACTCCTACTGCCTTGTAGGTCACACTTGGTTGTGTAAAGGCTAGAGCTGCACTCTCAAACAAAAGGCCGAGCGATTCTGGGGACATCACTCGTACCAAATTCCCATGAAACTTCATGAACTCTCTTAACTGGATAACCCTGTCGCAAAACGTTGCATCAGATCGCCGCTCCTGGGCAGCGATGATTCGAGATGTTCATGAAGCCGGCTCATCCTCCCGTAGGAGATAGCCGAAGTAAAGTAAGTAAAGCAAATCAAGAAGACTCAGTTAATTAGTTAAGATTATTCAAGGACATAGTTTTAGAACTTATGTAGCTGGTATGGCTGAATTACAAACTCCGTGAATGTTCGTGTTAACAGCACAGTAGAAAAGCCCAAAATGTCATTCGAGCCTGTCCAGATGTGTGCCCATTAAAACAAAAAATTTTAAAGCTTTGGAAGGTACACTACATATCTTCCTTCTTTATCGCTCGTAATGTATATTTTCAATGAAAAAGGGAGGTCCTCATAGTTATACCACGGAAGTCTTTTGAAATCATGTCCATTGCTTATTATCAAGGAATACTAGAAGGATCTTGGGTTTCTTTAAATTATTCAAAGCACTAGCTGTTTTAGATTCCATAGTATTGGAAACTACTGAAAATAGCTGAGCGCAGTATGATTTTATGCACAGCCCAGCCCACTGAAATCTTAGGCCGACAACACGGTGAACTACAAATCAGTGAATAAGTGTTCGGTCAGTCGGTAGCTCTTTTAATGTGATTTCACTTATGTGGTTTAGTATTTATTCTTAGTATTAATTGCCTTTAACAGTTAGTTTGAGCCAGCGGCGCAGGGAGGTGTAGACCGTTTGGTTGGCTGGAGTCCTCGCGACTCTAAGAACCAATGAAGGCTGGAGACTATTGGTGATATGGTTCGAGGTCGTTTTCAATGGCGCAAATGCATTTATTCTTCGTGATCCCTCATATCCATTAAACCATGTCGTTCTTCCATGTCACTTTTCTTTCTCCTTCACATTTCTGCTTGTTATCCTTCTTTCGAATCTCTTTTTGTTTTTGTCTCCTTTGTCTTCCTTTGTGTGGTACATGGAGTGGGACAACTCGAAGTGCTGCACTTCTGTGCAAAGTTCTATGTTGAAATCAGCCAGTCAGTCAGTCCTTAGCCACCATAACTTCCAGTTTGAAGTTAATATGGGTGGTTTTTGATGTATTAATAGGCTTAGTGGTAAACGTGTTTTCATTCAATCGTTGATTCTGAATCTAACAGTCATTTTTACCATTTTACAACTGCTCAATGGGTTTTATGAGGTTACAATACAAATTCCGCGATCAGTATCCGCTACCTAGTATCGGTTATGTGAACATTAATGGACTAATCACATCGATATTCACTGGCAGGAAGACAGTATTTTATTATTGTTCCCTTGGGTTCCGAGTGGAACATGGTGCTTAACAGCACATCTCCATTCCACTCTGTTCTGTGCAGTCTCTCATCTCTCCTCCCCGCATGATCTCCTCCATGTCACCCTCGGATCAATACCGCACTCGTCGTCACCCATTCGGGTTCCACCCCAGCGATTCCCTGCATTGTGGTCGATATCATTCGATGATCTCCTTAGCGTGTGTCCTATTCATCTCCTCTTCCTTCTACATATCTGTTAAACAATAAGTTCTAGGTTAGTTCGTTGCATTGTCGGAATTGCTTGTTGCTAGTTCTTTCTGGCTAGACATCTGGTCTTCAGTATGGAGCCATCAAAGAGAGTTGTTGATAAAAGTCTTCAGTGGTCTGTTTGAAATACTTTTCGTGACACGCAGTGCAAGTTTCTGACCCATTTAGGAAGAACTGACTGACTTAACATTGGTGCAGAAAATGCGAAACCTGTTGTATATGCTGAATGCAGTAGACTTCCAAACTGATTTCAGAGTGATGAAGGTTTGTTTTGCCTTTCCGATTCTGGCTGCTTATGACATCTTCATCCGTTCTGTCGCCTGTAGTTGAAAGGAGGCTTCCTAGATAAATGAAGATAGCAACTTCTTTCAAATTTCTTCCTTTGATAGTGATTAGTGTTTGTTGGTTATCTTCATGACCTCAATCTTCTCTATGTCCACCCAGAGTCATCTCTTTGCTGTTTCTGACAACTTGTTGGTTTTCACCTGTAAGTCTTCGAATATATGTGACTTCAGAAATAAATCGTCCACGAAATCCGTATCTTCCATAGTCCAACGTATCCCTGTCTTCTGACCCCAACAGTCTGACTCATAATCCAGTCCGCCACAATTAAGAATATCATCGGTGTCTTCACTTCTAAGACTTCGCTGAGTTTTCCATTGTGGACCACTTGACATGTGGAATTGTCATATAGCTATTGAATGAGTATGATAAAGACTTGAGGCACGCCGCCATAGTGTTGAAGTAGTTTCCAAATAACTTCTCAATCAACTCTGTCGAAGATTTTTTCAAAGTCGATGAAACTGAGGTTGAGATTTGACTGCCATTCTATTCTGTGTTCGATGACGATGTGTAGCTGTGCTGTTTGATTTACACATGATTTGCCTTTCCGGAATCCAACTTGTTCCGGCTGACGGAGTTCTGCATCCAATACATCTTTTAGTCTCTCCAGGATGATGCGACTTAGTATTTTGCTTAGCGTAGACAACAGTATAATTCTGCGCCAGTTTTTGCACAGGTCTAAGCCATCCTTCTTTAATATTTTGACAGGAGGATAACCTTTCTTCGAATCAGAAGGTACCTTTTCTTCCTTTCAAACTTTTTGTAAATAGTCAATTATGTGAATATTAATTCACCTATCCCATTGACATTTGTTCGCTGAAAACACAATATACTCATCGTAAAATCACACTCAGTCCCTGGTGCCATGCCCGGAAAATTCGCGGCAGACAAATCTCAAGATATAACTATGTATGTCTGTCCAGTTCTCCCTAGTTTTCTAGTAATCCTCTAGATGACTCAAATGTGTGATGAAAGCGCATAATAAGAGATTTTCTTCATTTTAACAGTTTAATTTAGCTTCTTGATTTCATGGTTTCTTGACAGTATTTGACCGTATCTCCTATTTTTCTCTGAACACATGATGAACAGGTACAAAATGAAACCGGAGATAAATTATCGTTTCCTTAAAGAAGATGAAGCAGAAGCAGAATACAGTCGTTTGCATAAAACACTGAATTTATTCAATGTTATGGTGAAACGGAAACTTACAGATAATGCTGGCGGCGAAGAGGATGCCGATATGGATCGTGAAATTTCCAAGGGGCTGAAGTAAGCTTTATAGTTGTTTATCTCACACATGATGTGTTTATTTCATATGTTATGTTGTCGTCACCGTCGTCATTCCACTTGACCACGAGAATTTTTCATTACCCATTTAAGCCCAGATAGGAGAACTGTACTAGAGTGATGTAACTGATTCACTGAGAAAGTGGTGCATTTCATATTTCAATCTTTATAACATATCATATAAACAACTATTGACGGGCTAACAAAATATTTTTAAAAAATGTAGTATTTAATTCTACCTGAAATTAGTTAACAGGGTTCATGGAAGAAAAGATATGTTGTATGCTAATTTCCTTAGAAATTCTTAAAAATTTTTCAGAACATAATATTTATTTATCATTTTACATTTTTCATTGTTCCCTTGGGTTCCGAGTGGAACATAGGGCTTCAACAACACATCTCCACTTTTTTCTATTTTCTGTCATCCTCTTCAGCTGGCTGGCTCCAAGACTGCCCATAATCTCTCATCTCCTCCTCGCCACACAATCTCCTCCATGTCACCCTCACACTGACGACCCACTCGTCTCCTTCCAATTGGATTCCACTTGAGAGATGGTCTGCATTGCTCACGATTTCGTCCGATGGTCTCCTCAATGTGTGCCCGACCTAACCATCTCCATTTTCTCCTACATATTTGTTGAGCGATCGACTCTTGTTTGGTTCATTTCCAGAGTTTCTAGTTGCTAAATCTTTCTGATCAGCCATTTGATGTTCACTATGGAATCAGTCAGCGAAGGTGGCAGCTGTTGATGAAAGTCTGCAACAGGCTTTTCGAAATCCTTATCGTGAAACGCTGGCCAAGTTTCTGACCTGTATAGATGGATCGACTTGACATTGGTGTTGAAAATGCGAATTATGTTCCTTATGCTGAGTGTAGAAGATTTCCGAAGTGGTTTCAGGTTTATTAGGACGTATTTTGCCTTCTCAGTTCTGGCTACGTTTGATATCTTCATCCGTTCCGGCTTCCTGTAGTGAAACAATGTTTCTTAGATAAGTGAAGGAGGTAACTTCTGTTAAATCTCTCCCGTTGACGGTGATTGGTACTGGTTGTTGTGTTTGGTCGCTTATCTTCATCACCTCCGTCTTCTCTATGTTTACCAAGAACCCTATCATCGCGGTCTGCTTCTTCAGTCAGCTTGTTGGTTTTCGCCTGCAAGTTTTCGAGTTTGTGTGACATCAAACACATATTGTCTGCGAAATCCAGATCTTCTCGAGTCTTTTTATCAGTGGTCCAGCGTATTCCTGACTCCTCGCTCCCAATGCACATTCTGATGCATAATTCAGTCGACCACAATTAAGAATATCATCTGTGATAATAGGCAGCCAGCTTGTCTTACTCTTGTATGCACTTCGAACGCAGTATAACAAATTAATTTAAAATTTAATAACGAAGCAATTATGCATATGTAAGAATTATATTGGTAAAATCCCAGCGATATTCAAATAAGGGATTTCAACGTTTAGTTCGACAAATTGGTCCGAACTTCTTCAGGGAAATTAATCAAAATTAAAGTAAGAAAGGTATATATATATAAGGATGCATCTTGTCTTAAGAATCTTGTTCAATCATAGGAGTCATGAACAGATATCGAAACTCGATGGGTGCCTACTGTTGGTGAGTCACAAACCAGGACGAAACAGCTTCCCAGTACTCTCTGCTGGTTTCCTAATAGTTCTCTAACTGATACCAATCATTGGTCAAACTTGGAAAACAAAATATAGCAAACAAAATTGCATGGATTGTGATCAAAATTTGACCACAGACTTAGAAATATTAGTCTACTTATGTTAAATGCTGCAGATAGTGTGTACTTTTATATCAAAATTTGTTAGTGATTATGTTCGACTGAAGTTCACGATCATCGATAGCTGAATATGGGAAACATATGTATATGCAGTATACGATGGTGTGTGTGTGTACACGTGAGAGAACAGTTGTACATCATTTGTCAACCTTTCCATGAGAAGGTATAGATAGTCAGAAATTTGGATTGACTTTGATTGATTAATGATACATATTCATTTTTATTTACTAGTCAGCACTCGCCATGAATCTACTAACATTACATCTTAACGTTTGTTCAAGCTTTTGGGATTTCCCCGTATATGTAGGGCTTCCACAGTCAGCCTTTCTTCATACGAACCAAAACCCTTCTGTCGAATCTTTGTCCTATCAAAGTCGTTCTTGTGCCCCATTTTTGTCGAGTTTAGCGCAATCGCTGATTTGTTTTCTAGCTTCTTCAAATCTGCAGAGGTCTTTAGAGCCACCACTAGACATTGTTTATGCTCCTTACATATTTACCTTCACCAGTGATTAGCGTAAGGTGTCCATCGCAGGAAAATTCACTCGTATTTCGTGATTGTTAAGGATTCGCTTTATTTCATCACCACTGTACTTACCCAAGTCTTACCAACAAGTTTCGATTCATCCTTATCTTCACTTTTTAAATATCTTTTTATAAAGTTTTTCTGGTAATTATTTGATCCAAGAGTTGACTGAACCAATTTTAGTTCCCTATTGATCTTTTTCTCCACAGTAACCAGACGTTTTACTCTGTTAATCAGATTCTGGACCACAGCTACTTTGGTGGTAAAGGGATGTGTCGAATTGCAATCCGAATGTGTAGGCTTTCTGAAGATGTTTATTTTAATTTCACCAAGCAGTTATTGCTAATTTGAATGCTGTTTCCAAAAATTTGGAAATACTTTATCTCTGTTAGAAGTCAGTGCCAAACTGAATTCGTTGGAGTGTTATTTTTGTTCCCCTGATTCTGTGTTGAAAACTCAGATTTGCTTATACTACATTTAAAAAAAAATCACTTTCTAAACTTTCTGTAATCTTTTGTCCAATGTCTTTTAGATTTCTGTCTTCATTGGGCGATGCTAATTCAAGCCAACGGAACAAAACAGAACCGAAATCCAAAGATATGATGAAGTCAGAGAATGCCTTAAAGCTTACTGATTTAGATGAATTGGACACTGGTAGTGAAGCGGATGACGATGAAGATGACGATGATCTGGATGATGAAAATCATCATCATTCCAAGAATGCCAATGCTGATTCAACGAAAGCAGACGACGGTCCAAGTTCTTCTACTTCTAGTAAGATGAAAAGCCTTCTATTCGATGATCCAGATGATCGCCAGAAATCAGGATCTAAAAGTGGTGGACTTTTAAAAGCTTCTGAACGTATACGGCTAGCAAAGAAAAAACAACGTGTCGCTGCTATTGTCACAAAAATGCGACGTGGTGTAAAAAGACGTAAACGAAAAACTGTCAATATGATGGATTCTTCCGAGGAAGAAGATGATCCAGACGAAGAAGCACAGGATGAAAGTGAATTAGACGATCATGAAGGCGATGAAGTGAGTCACATTATCTTAATTCCTTACATACACTCCATAATATGACTGTCTGTTTTCGACATAGAACTTTGCACCGATGTGCGGCAGTTCAAGTCGCCACATTCCCTCCATGTAGCACACAAAGCAAGAGAAGAAAGTAGAAGAAATGCATAATAGAGACAGTAAACAGAGGTGTGAGACAAAGGAATAGTAATAACGAAGAACAAAACAGTTTCATTGGAAATCATAAGTCACAAGGAGTGGATGCATCTGAATCATCTATTGAGAACGATTTTGAGTCATATCACCAATTGTCTTCAGCCATTGGTTTTTACCGTCCCAAGGACCCCAACCAGGAAGTCTACACCTTCCTACGTGGCCTAGACTAACTGTTGTAGATTTCATTGACTGGTGCCATGTTTTGGTTTGACCGCCTCTAGCTCTTTTCCAGCCTGGCCCTATATCAGCTAACATTGCCTATCGGTCGAGGAAGGCGGTGACTAGGCATTCGTAGCACATGTCCTAACCATCTCAGTCGAAGTAATTTCACATCCTCATCGACTGATTTCCCCTCCTTACCTAGCACTCGACCGATGCCTAACCTCAATATTGCTCACCTTATTATATCACTTCACACGGGAGATAGAACGCAAACACCTATGATTGTAGACAGCTAATCTTTTCATGTCTTCCACTCTCAATGGCCAGGTCTCACAGCCATAAAGGAGGACGGAGCGGACTGATGAGCAGTACACACGCCCTTTGGTCGATAGCCAGCCGGATATCATGTCTACGCCAGAGACGGCGTAAACTGGAATATGCGAAACTAGCCCTCTGTATCCGTCCTGAGATTTCGTCAGAGATCAACCCGTTGGCATTAGCTGATGGTACTTCCCAAGTAAGTGAAGTGGTCAACGTGCTCTACCACTCCACTTCCTATTTCTAATCTAGGAGTCGGTTTAGTCCAATCCTGTAACATCATCTTGCATTTGGCGGGAGCGAATCGCATGCCAAACATTCGTAGGTTGCAGCTCAAGGTGTTCAGAAGACTCTGCTGAATTTTGTCAGCATCCTCGCCTAGAAGGACTATATCGTCTGCATATTTTAAGTCAACTCCATAATATAAATCTCTTTGACATCGGGTTATGATATAGGGACTGTATTTCAATGCATAGTGAATTCAGTTTATTCTTGTCAATCCTTTCTTGCGTATTCTTTCTCTTTTTTTCTGATGTCGGATATATTTCAGATCAGAGTTCACAGCATTTTTTAAACTACTCATCCAACGGATGTGATTGGGGGGGGGGGGGGGCGGGTTGTTCTGTGTTTAAGCCTGAAACATGGTGAATTAGCTATAGATATACAAACCAGACTTAACGGCTTGATAATCTCTCTACATTGATGATAATTTAAATCTTTGTGTTCTCAGTTATTTGTGTCACATGTTATATCTTTATCTAGTACATACAGTTCTTTTTCTATTATTAATTATGAGAGTTAAATCTGCCATGTGTACACACACACACACAATTTCACTATAGTAACCGTATACCGATAAGTAATCATTATTTTATTAAGTTATATAATTTTATTATAAAACTTAATGTGATAAATAGTGCTAAGCATTGTTTTATAGCAGGTCGATCAACCATAAAGTCACAATCTCTCTCTCTCTCTCCACCTAAAACTATGTCAGGAAAGCTTGTTAATGAATTCACATACCAGTACTATTGTAATGGTGGATGACGAGAAACTTGGCAATTAGGTATCTCTATGTAGCCAAGCTATGTACATTTATCTTCAACGCACCAGTTGCACAGGTCTTCCGTGGTGTTGTGCTACTTCTGGCTTTCATGTTGTGTTTCTTTGTGTCTCTTTCACGTCTCCCATGTATCTCCACAACACTGTATCATTTACTTTCTCTGACATCAAATCTATCTCCCTATTATTTGATGTTTTATGCCGATGAACATCTCTTTATATATATACTACTGATAAATCTTATCAGTAGCACACGCCACACTATGATATAGTGTTCACTTGAAGTCAGTAGAGATAATGTCTTGTCGGGGAAATCAATCGCTGTAGTCTTTTATCGAACACTAACTTCAAAAATGTCAGTGATATGGTGTTACGATCAAAACCGACTTGTTGTGGTCTGAACACAGGGGACCGATTTCTGTGTGCTACTATGTAGAGCTGACCAATACCTCCTTGAGACACGAACGCTTCAAAGACACAGCAAAAAACGATTATTCGTTGTTGGATCTATGCGTGTGTCTCTATTCACAACAATAATAACATCAAAATTACCTCAACAGTGCCATTAGACAGCTATACAGTCAAAAGGAGAATGAATCTCAGGTAGGCTTCGTGTGCTTTCTGAAGTGTGTGGGCGGTTGTTACTTCCCGGCTGCCCACAGTGCACACAGAGTGAAGAGGAAGTGAAGAGCCATTAAGTAGAGGAGTTGCATTAGTAGAAGGAAGGCAAGATAATAGAGATGAATATAAAGACAAAGGTGGGTGAGGATTAGAGAGGTTTCGCGTGCACTCCGGATTGTGAGGGCGATTGTTACTTCCCGGCTGCCCACACCGTGGAAGTTGGTTGCGTGACCGCAAAGCCCAGGGGACAACTGCATAAGGCCGGTCACACACTGCCTGTATGAACTGATTTCTTGGTGTGGTTCCGTATTGGTAAACTTACCGCCGGTTACGGACCACAGTAGGGTAAGTCGGGATGTACAATTTTTGGGGTCGACCTTTTCCAACCCCTCCCTCCCTTGAGTGGAGAAACAGCATAGCTGGTATGCTGGTCATCTGAGGGAAACACCTTACTTCGGCTGTTACATCCGTGTTCCCCAGCAGTACGACTTCGCCCACAGACCTCAAGCATAGTATAAGAAAGATTCTTACACTATGCTAGTAACTGCTTTTAGTCTAATCGCCATCCTAACAACCTTCCTGGCATGGTAGGACCTGCAGGAACATTGGTTCCAGCCAGTGTAGCTTGTTGGGTCATCGCGATGTGCAAGCCCGACCACCACGTCAAGGTAGCAGCTGTCGGTCGGGATACAGTCAAGATAATAGTCTAAGTACAAAACAAGTGCTGTAGAACAAAACTAGTTAACCTGAATATAACTGTAAGAAGTACCTTAGAATCAAGTAGAATATTCCCAAGAAAATGGGATCAAAAACTCTGTCCACCAAAATCACACACCGACTTTTAGGCAGACAATCCAGGGTCGGAATGACCTTGACTCTCACTCAAACAAATCACAACGTAAAACAACACACATTATCGATATATCGCACAACTGCAAGGAGAATCATTAAAATTAGAGACTAAACAGGGGTAAAGACAAATAGTAAAGATCAAGTCAACATATGATATGCAAACGCCAGAACAATGGTATACAGTCCATGAGGAAAACGGGTAATAGTTACAAAGTTGAAACATCCAAAAAGTGTATAAATATTGTAATGTAATCGTTCAGGAATGGCGGGGGGATTGAGTTTCCACACAGTTAATCTGTTATAGATAGAACTGATAAAACGTCAGACTATAGATGGCCAATTCAACGTAGACGTGTAAAGATGTAGTTCTCTTTAGAACTGACCACTATGAAGAAAGCTTGTGCATAGCTGTCAAAAAGTGAGATACTTTATTGGTATTCGGTTCAACGAAAGAGGCTGATACATTCAAGTAAGAAAATATAATTTGTATTATTCATCATAGAATAATTTTATTTGACAAAACACCCGGAAGAAAAAAGACAAAAAAGGATCCGAAAGAACGATGATAAGCAGAAATGTACAGGAGAAAGAAAATACAACATGGAAAAACATTAGGTTTCTGGTGGATATCAGAGATCACAAACAGGGAATGCCACATCACCAATTGTCTCCAACCATTGGTTTTTGCCATTCCGAGGACCTCAACACCAGCCAAGTAGTTTACACCTCCCTATGTGGCTGGTTGGGGTCCTCGCGACGGTAAAAACCAATGGTTCGAAACAATTGGTGACATGGCTCAAAATCGTTCTCAATGGCTGGCGCAGATGCATCCACTCCTTGTGACTTATGATTTCCAATGAAACTATTTCGTTCTTCGTTATTACTATTCCTTTGTCTCACACCTCGACTTACTGTCTCTATTATGCATTTTTCTACTTTCTCTTGCTTTGTGTGCTACATGGAAGGAGTGTGGCGACTTGAACTGTCGCACATCGGTGCAAAGTTCTATGTCGAAAACCGACCGACCGACCGATGTGGCTGGCTCAAACTAACTGTTGTGGATTTTATTGACTGATTTCATGTCTTGGTTTCATCACCACTATCTCTTTTGCAACCTGATCCATCCTAAGTCAGCTAACACTGACCGTCGAAGAAAGCGATTTCTAGGCATACGTAACACATCTCTTAACCATCTCAATAGATTTAGCTTCACAACCTCATCGATAGATGCCACCCCGCCCTTACCTAACACTCGATGCCTAAGCCCATTGTTACCCACCCTATTATACCCACTAACACTGGAGACAGAAGCGGACACTTATAATCAAAGACAGTCGGCCTATTCATGTATCCCACTTTCGATGACATAACGAAGGACTGAACGAACTGATAGCCGGATATCACGTCTACGCCAAAGATGATGGAGGTAGGTAAATACCACACGAACCTTTTGTATCTGTGCTCAGATTTCGTCAGCGATCAACCCATTTTGGCCGATGCAACTTCCCAAATTAGTGAATTGGTTAAATATAGTATACATCTACAGGGTCATGATTAGTAAGGCGTGTTGATCAATTCGACGTAATGATTAAGATTACTAAAGGAGGAGGTTGGACCCTCCTCCCTTTTTTATAATTAAAGCTGTAGATTTCTCATCGAACTCGGATTTTTTGAAGTGGAATAACCATTGTCGAAGTGAATATTCAACTGTCTGCTGATCACCTGATCAATATGAATATCAGTGAATAGATTATTCAAAGATTTCAACTTCCAATTTCCCTAAAACCGCAGTCTTCCTCTGAAAATCTCCTACGTTTCGCATGAGTATTCCTTTCCTATGCTCTTAAAATACACAAACCTTGATTCTATGTTGGTTTTTTTTGAGGTGTGATTTTAGTAATGTTTTATTTGTGACACATTGTTGGAATAATTATATTCTTGGTCCCGATGTAAGACTTAGATGTGTGAAAAGTTGAAGTAGAAATCAGGAAACCCTAAGATATGTTCAACAAAGATCTTGATTTGTGTAATAGTAATAATAATAATAATGGCTTTATATAATGTACAGAATTTTCAGCCAAGTTTATTGCATATTTTCCCTTCGTACAGGATCTTCAGATGAAATATTAATTGTGACAGTAGACTGTGTGATATAATGCTGTCTGACGTGTGAAGCAGAAACCAATCCCTTATTATGACAGTTCTTTGTCTCCGAGAAATGCATGACACTTGGTTGAAAGCCAATCGGAAAAGAGTTGTTCACAAGTACATTTTGAGATTAAGGGACATAACTCAGGGACAGTTATCTCACGTTTTGGGTTCCGTAGCCGCCATCAGCGTCAACCCATACCCCATGATTATGCTTTTTCTCAGGTCTTGTGGAGGCCATCAGCAAATCAGCAGACTGTAAACTCTTTCAATACTCGCGAGAGTATAAAACACCATCAGAGGTCAAATTTTAATCGATTAAAACAAAGTGGAGAGAAGAATTATATTATATATATATATATATAAGTTTTAAGCACGCCGCCGGATTGAAATCTAGAGTAATGTAAATGTGCGTTGGTGGCACAGCGGTAGAATGCTCGCCAACCACGCCGCATGTGGTCCGGGGTTCGATACCCGACCACCGATGCACTCCTTTATCTCGCTAAGCCAATAATAAGACTGGTGAACAGGGAAGGTTGGGCATGAAGCTAACAACCGCATCCCGTGAAAATAAAAAACACCACTGCTACAGAAACTTCAAGCCTCTCACTTGAAGCCCTATGTTCCACTGGGAACGTAAAGGAGTTAAAAAAAGAGTAATTTAATTGATGAATAATATAATGTCAGATCGTTTGCTTACTCTAATCATTACGAGTCTGTTTGTAGTTGTTCTCCTCCTAGACCTTCTTTCTTCCTAAAAAAGTTCTTTCCACTACTTATTTTTTCACTTTAGGTGGATTACATGACTAATTCATCATCAGATGAAGAGAAATTGCCTAGCGAAGAGCGTGAAAAAATTTATGAAGAAACTGGAGTAGACGAAGAACTTGCATTGAAAGCTCTCCTCACTGATATAAGTATGTTAATTTTTGTTGTTGCTATTTTACTTAACTTATTAAAAGATTTTATTTGTTTGTTTGTTTATTGATTTATTTATTTTATTCCTTTACGTCCTGAGTGGTACAGAACCAATTCTTTTAGGAATTCTTTTGTAAGGAAAGATGACGTACCTAGACTGGCTCACTTCCAATTGTATCTACCAATTCAACTGCGCTTGTGGTGGAGCGAGTTACATCGGCCGTTGCTCTAGGAACTTGATTTTTCGTGCTCGCTGGGGGAGGGACATCCACCTGTGTGGTTAAACAAAGGTGTAGTGAGAAGCATCAACAGTTCGATATTAGACCACCTGGTCCATACCGGCCACAAAGCCAGCATTGACGATTCCTCCTCTATCATCTATTGGGTACCAAATAAATTGCCAAAAACATCCAGGCACCGTATACCTTAAATAGCAGTGGCTATCGCGATTCGCCTTTAACAACCGGCGCTCTGTGTGTGGAAGAAGGCAAGTCCAACCAGCCACTACTACTGCCCTGGTCGGCCTTCAGTGGAGACTATACATTGATGAATTTTTATTATTATCTTTCCTAATTTGCGTGTCTGATATTCAGTGTACTGTTATGTTGTTGATGCTGTCGAACTGTAATCCATTGATATTATTATTATTGTTACTGCTTCGATGTTATATAAACAACATTAATGTTGTTAATAACACTAATTCATTCACTATTATGGATGCATATAACTGTAGAACCTTATGATAATTTAGTTATCGAAAAGAATACTCTTTGTTCAGTAACCATTCTTTTGAAAAAAATTTTAATGGGCGTTTTCAATCAGTTAAAATGAAATTGTTGCATGTCTAAAACTCCTGTAATTCACAAGTTTTTTGATCTTCCTATGCGAATGAAAAGATTTTTATTCTTATTGTTATTATTCTTATTCGTAAAATCACATTTTTTAGAGTTTTACAGGTCAACTGAGTGAGTATAGCATTTTGAATTTATAGCGATAGCTTTCATCAATATCCTATTCAGTCATTAGATGAATAAGAAATGGTCACTAAAGATGTAAATCTCTACGGACTACTGTAGAGGTTTGAAATAAATCTTTCTCATGCCACAATCTTACACTAACTAGCTGTTTTATTGACTGCTTCAGAAATTTGCATTAGTTTATGAGATATGTTGAAGAACTAAGTATCTCAGCATAGCAATGAGAGATATGTAGCTATGTTTCAACTATGAGGTTATGCAGAATTCCTGTGCGTCGATGGCACAGTGGTTAAGACTCTCGCCGAACATGCACATGGTCCGGAGTTCGATCCCGTGCCGACGCACACCAGATATCTATGGTCGGCCTGCAAAATTTGGGCTACCGATATCCATACTGAAAATGCCATACTTGTACTGAAAATACGGTGTGGCATCAAGCTGTAATCAAAAATAAAAATATTTCATTACCTCATTTCAATTTTTGTATCGTAAACATTCTTCATCGATTCGTTCGTTCCCAAAGTTTGTTGTTGGTGATTCTTTCTCGCTGGCTGGCTGGCTGGCTGACCGGCCATCTGATCTTCACTATGAAGTCAGCCAGCCAAGATGGCAACTGTTGATAAAAGTCTGTGGTTGTCTGTTAGAAATGCTTTTGGTGACGCGTTCGTCTTGTTTCTGATCCATATAGAAGCACTGACTGACCGACTGGTGTTGAAAATCCAAAGTTTTTTCTCTATACTATACACGGCAGATTCCCATGCTTTGGAATTGCTAAACCCTTTTGTAAAGTTCATCAGATATTGTAAAAACGGTTTTCCTGTAGTGTCAAATTGTCAAAACTTTGGAGCTGGTCTCACTGTGATTATACTTTCCATAGCATGTAAAAAATTCGCTAGCAATCACCTGATTGCAAAACTATATGTAAAAATATACCCTACCCTAAGTCCCTCCAATCATATCTCCTTGGGAATAGTTGTACTCATTAACAACAACGCTATATAAAGATAGTTCTGAAAATGATGAACAGTATATTTCTTAGTAAAACGAATACACCACCACTTCATAAAAAGGTTTGTTTTCAACCATCAGTTTCAGTAGTTGACATCTGTATTACAAATCAAACTATATTCACTGTGTATCATCTTTAGGACTGTTTAGAAAAATCGAAAGTGTGATCACTGTGTGATACTGGATCTCATGATGTGAAGACCATTTAAAGTGTGTGTGTGTGTGTGTGTCATGCTCTTCGTCATACAAACAGTTGACTTGAAATGTGATCACATGTTAGTTAGAGCCAATTCTATCGACCATTGTATTATATGTGAAAAAGTAATGAAGATGGCTTCACTTTATTTCTGACCTCGCTTCTGCCTTTGCGTCGGTGGCACAGAGGTTATGACTCTCGCCGATCATGCACATAGTCCGTGATCCGATCCCCTGCCGACGCACACCTGATATCAATTGGTCGGCCTGCAAAACTTGGGCTACCGATATCACATGCTGAAAATTCCATACCTGTACCAAAAAATACGGTGTGGAATCAAGCTATAATCAAAAATATATATATGTATAATGATGTTAAAACACTAGCGTTGGTACCCTCGACCGATAGCTGCTACCACGACGTGGTGGTCGGGTTTGTATATCACAATGACCCAACAAATTACAATGACTGAAACTAGTGTTTCTAAAGGTCCTACCATTCCAGAAAGGTAGTTAGAATAGCGTTTAGATTAAAAGCAGTTACCGGAGTAGTATAAAGTTGTGGCGAGAGCTGTATACTAGCCAGAATGGTAGATAGTAATTTGCGTCAATGTTTACGTTCTCAAGATTTGTCGTGAGAAAATATGAACAAAGACTGATTCAAAACCGACCACAGCAGACTTTGCGTAGGCGGATACAGTTAACATATAGATGATTTGACATTCAAGAAACAGTCACAAAGAGATGAAAGATTAACTTTAAGTGAGAAACAACCAATCAGAGGACTGTGTTTGTTTGCTTAACTAAACTATAATAATGTACATGAAAATATATAAATAGGCTTTGATTTCCTTAATAAACGATCTGTTGCCTGGCCCTTGTCTTCTGTTGTTACAAAGTGTTTACACTATGCTGGGGATCTGTGGGCGAAGTTGTAGTGCTGCTGGGTAAAAGGAATGCCAGTTATGCTGTCTCTCTACTCAGGAGAGGGAGGGGGTTAGGAAAAATTGAACCCCCAAAAATTGCATATCGCGACTTACCCTACGGTTGGTCTGTAGCCGGGAGTAAGTTACCAATATGGAAACAAATCTAAAAGCCAATTCAAACAGGCTATGTGTGTGACCGGCCTCAAGCAGTTGTCCCCTGAGCTCTGCGGTCACGCAACATTAATTCTCCTTCTGTTTCAGGTACCTCAGGAAAAATAATCAACTTCCACGTTGTGGGCAGCCGGGAAGTAGCAACCGCCCAAGCGCTGAGTGCGCTACGGCTTTAATGATAATTATCCTCGGACATGCACAAGGTGTTAGGTGGTTAGTTAAAGCGACTGGCTAAAAGATTATCTGTATGCTACTTGAAATAGTTTGAATAATTTCTATAGGTTCCTTCTTTCTTTAGTATCTCTCATTCTAATTTCATGACCATATATGTATATATATCTACTCATCTTTTTCCCCCTTTTTTTCTGCATTTTGTTAAAATAGGTAGTGAAGAGGAGGATAAATCTGAAAATGATGTACCAGAGATAGAAGAGGATTCAGTTGATGATGAAGCCTATTCATCAAAACGACGTAACGAAACAGATGATGTCAGAAAGGGAGGAAAATCTTCATCAACCTCTCATAAACCAGAAGCAGAGGAGGATGCTGGTGGATTAGATTCCAGTAAAAAATTACATCGAAATCATAAAAAACGTCAAAGTAATGGTTCAGATGAAAATGACAGTGGATCGTCCTCAAGTTCCAGTTCATCTTCAGCCGATGAAGATTCATCGACTTATTCTTCATCTGATTCTGAATTAGATAATCGACTTAAGTCAATACAGAAAAATGTGAAAAAAGCTGAAGTTCTACAAAAACTTCAAGACACAATCAACGCGTCTTCACTTACATCATCAGGAGGAGGTACTACTACTACTACTACTACTGGCAATAGTTTATCTGACAATCATCAAATAACAAGTGGTGGTGGTGGTAGTTTAAAACGTTTACCTGGTGGTGATTCGTCTACACCCGGCGCCGGTGCCACCTCTGCCGCAACCACCTCCGCCTCAGACACACTTTTAGACTCTCCGGCGGCGAAAAAACCACGTACTGATGGCATATCATCACAATCATCCTCGTCCAATGCACCTGTGAACTCATCTGATAATGAATTAGTCAGTACAGTAAGAAAGTATTTAATGCGAAAACCTATAACTGTCAGGGAATTATTGAAAAAGATTCGATTACGTAAATTAGTCGGTAAGAATGAAGATGCTCAAACTGTCTTAGCTAATGTATTACGTCAGTTAAGACCTATTAAGCAAACAATTAATGGACAGCATGTTTTATCCTTGAAATAGAGAATTCACCAACCCCACCGCCCCCCAACCTCTTTTCTGTTTCTCCTTTTTTCTATGAGCTGTTTTCTTTCTCTTCCTCTCCTTCTTCTCTTTCTCCTTCAGGGTAATATGTGTGTATACTCTTTTTCCGCATGTACATATACATATATTGAATGTATAAAAAATGGTTGTAAATCTGGAGTTTTTTATTGTTGACTATTCTTTGATAAAAAAAAACTATTTTGGAGTAATTGTCTTAGTCTTCTCTTATTGTAGTATTAGTTTGTGCTTGTAGTGCTTGTCTGTTCTGCTGTTATATATATATTGTCGTTATGATATATGGTGCTCATCGTGACTAATCTGTTGCCTTTTTGTGTGTGTGTGTGTGTGTATTTTTCTATTCCTTCACGTTCCCAGTGGAACATAGGGCTTTATTATTGTTGCTCCCTTGGGTCCCGAATACGGGGACACCCTGTTCATTTTAGCTGGCCCTACGATGACCCATAGACTCGCAATTCCTCCCCACACGATCTCCTCCATGTCATCCTCGGAGTCATGTCCATTGGGTTCCACTCTAGCGATGGCATGCATTGAGCATGATGTCATTCGACAGTCTCCTCCGTGTGCATCTGATCCATCACCATTTCTTTCAGAATATTTCTTGATTATTACTTTCTTGATTGGTTCGTTCTCGTTGTTTCTCGTTGCTAATTCTTTCTGGTCAATTTGATCGTCAATATGGAGCAAAGCCAACTGTTGATAAAAGTTTTCAGTGGTCTGTTGAAAAATGCTTTCCGTGACGCTTTAGCCAAATTTCCGACTGACATAGAAGAAGTGACGGACTTAACATCCGAATTTTGTTGTTGTTCATGCTGAGTGGAGTAGACATCCGAACTGATTTCAGAGTGATGAAGGTCAGCCTTGCCTTTCCGATTCTGGTTTTTACCTTATACATTATGCACATTTTACTGGTAAATAGTGCTACATTCGTTGGAGTAATTTTGTTGGATGGTGACCAACAGCGGATCTACTAGGATGCTCATTTCGTCCTATTCGGGACTCCTCACTGTATGTACCTGCACTACTCAGTGAGTGAGTGAGTGAGTGAGTGAGTGAGTGAGTGAGTGAGTGAGTGAGTGAGTGAGTGAGTGAGTGAGTGAGTGAGTGAGTGAGTGAGTGAGTGAGTGAGTGAGTGAGTGAGTGAGTGAGTGAGTGAGTGAGTGAGTGAGTGAGTGAGTGAGTGAGTGAGTGAGTGAGTGAGTGAGTGAGTGAGTGAGTGAGTGAGTGAGTGAGTGAGTGAGTGAGTGAGTGAGTGAGTGAGTGAGTGAGTGAGTGAGTGAGTGAGTGAGTGAGTGAGTGAGTGAGTGAGTGAGTGAGTGAGTGAGTGAGTGAGTGAGTGAGTGAGTGAGTGAGTGAGTGAGTGAGTGAGTGAGTGAGTGAGTGAGTGAGTGAGTGAGTGAGTGAGTGAGTGAGTGAGTGAGTGATAGTGTTCCCACGGAGACTTGAATCCAGCACCGATCTTTTCAAGGGCCATAGCGTTATCCATTAGACCATCTGGAATACGAGAGCCACTTGTTGTGTAAAAAGTGTCAGCTATCATCTTTAATTCACTTTCGATTTTCCCATTGATCGATTGGACCTAAATAAATTGGCCTCCGTTGACATGTTGACTCCTAGCACGGACGCTTGGAAGATGTCTGATGATTACCTCTGGAAGTAGTTTGATAGATGGTGTGATAATCAGTGGATGAAACATACATCGTGGATTCCATTGCTAGTAAGCCATTCAGCAAACTACTTGAAGTTAATCCTCAAACATCTTTGAGGCGTCCATACTTGGAGCCGACATATCAACAAAGGTCGAACATTTCGGTGCAGCTCAATCAACCGGAAAATCAAAATTTGGATTAGAAACAAACAGTAACTGTGTTATGTTCCATCATTTATTTCAAAATCTCTAAATGATCCATCGGGCAATTGATTATTATTGATGATATGTGTATTTGTAAAAGGTAAATACACATTTATGACTCTGTAATCACTCAAATATCCGTGTCCTAGAACACGAACTGATGGTGGTGGGGGGTCAAACTAAAAAATGCAATCAGTCCATGAAATCTCTTTTAATAGTTAGTTTGAGCCAGTCACATAGAGAGGTGTAGACTATCTTTTCTTCTTCTTATAGCTTGATTTCACACCGTATTTTTGGTACAAGTATGGAATTTTCAGCATGTGATATAGGTAGCCCAAATTTTGCAGGCCGACCAATTGATATCAGATGTTTGTCGGCAGGGGATCGAATCCCGGACCATGTGCACGGTCGGCGAGAGTCCTAACCGCTGTGCCACCGATGCACAAGATTCTAAGAACCAGTGATTAGAGACAATTGGTGATATGGCTCCAGATTGTTCTCTACGGCTGGCGCAGATGCATTCACTCGCTTTGTGATCTCCTATAACCAATGAAGACCCTATTGTTTCCCCATGTTATTATTCTTTCTCCCTCACATTTCTGTTTATTCTCGTTCTTCCGAATCTCTTTTTCTCTTCGTTTGTGTGGTACACAGGGTGTAGGGACTCGAACTGCCTCACTTCTTCCAAAGGTTCTGTTTCGAAACCAGTCAGCCAGGGTATGTGTTGCGTATGCTGAGATATCGTCTTTCTCTACCAGCGATTTTGGCTTATGTAAGATGAGGTTGAAAAAGAGTTAGCGATAATCAAATCAGAGTATGACAACAATTCATAATATCTATTAAAATGTAATCTCTAATGGCTATTGATCATAGGTGTTTGCACTCTATCTATCGTCTCAGGTGGTATAGTAGGGTGAGTAATATAGATATTAGGCGTTGAGTGCTAGGTAAGGAGTGAAAATCAATCTATCAGGTCATGAAGTTACATGGTTTGAGATTGAGATGGCTGGGACAGATGTTAGACATGCTTAGACATCGCCTTCCTCGACTGATGGGCAATGTTAGCGGACATAGGATCTATCAGGCTGGAGAAGAGCTAGTGGTAGTCAAACCGAAACATGGCATCAGTTCATGAAATCTTTAACAGTTATTTTGAGCCAGCCACATAAGCAGGTGTAAACTTCTTGACTTGTTAGTGTCCTCTGTCTGTCTGTCTGTTTTCGACATAGAACTTTGCACCGATGTGCGGCAGTTCAAGTCGCCACACTCCATGTAGCACACAAAGCAAGAGAAGAAAGTAGAAGAAATGCATATTAGAGACAGTAAACAGAGGTGTGAGACAAAGGAATAGTAATAACGAAGAACAAAACAGTTTCATTGGAAATCATAAGTCACAATGAGTGGATGCATCTGAGCTAGCCACTGAGAACGATTTTGAGCCATGTCATCAATTGTTTCCAACCATTGGTTTTTACCGTCCTGGGGACCCCAACCATTCAGGAAGTCTACACCTTCCTACGTGGCCTAGACTAACTGTTGTAGATTTCATTGACTGGTGCCATGTCTTGGTTTGACCGCCACTATCTCTTTTCCAGCCTGACCCTATATCAGCTAATATTGCCCATTGTCGAGGAAGTCGATGACTAGGCATACGTAACACATGTCCTCACCATCTCAGTCGATGTAATTTCACAGTCTCGTCGACTGATTTCCCCTCCTTACCCAGCACTCGAGTGACATCTAACCTCAATATTGCTCACCTTATCATACCACTTCACACGGGAGATAGAACGCAGACAGGCACCTATGATCGAAGACAGCTAATCTTTTCATGTCTTCCACTCTCAATGGCCAGGTCTCGCTCACAGCCATAAAGGAGGACGGAGTGGACTGCTGAGCAGTGGACGGCGGTAAGAATGCCTATGTTCTAGAATCTGTCGAAGGATGAAGAGATATGACCAATACACCCTCTTCCTGATCTGAAGCCTGCCTGTTTCTTTCGTGTTTATGCCTCCCGAGCACCACTTAGTCTACGCAATATTATTGAGCCTAGTTAGTGTCCTCTGGATTCTAAGAAGCAACATAAGGTAGGAGACAATTGGTGATTGGGCTCATAATCGTTCTCAGTAATGCAGATCCATTCACTCTTTGTGATCATCCATATCCCTATTAGACCCTATTGTTTCTCTAGGTTACAATTCTTTCTCCCTGACATTTCTCATTGTGTGCTACATGTGAAGGGAGTGTGGCAATTCGAACTGGTGGTGCACTTCTGTGCAAAGTTCACTGTTGAAACCAGTCAATTGTCTTTCTAATTCAAGACTAGTAATTGTGCTTAATGTATTTTGAACTATCAGTGATATATAGGAGGTAGACACTAATTGACTTTGTAACTCAATCGTCAGAAAGTGTCACCTCTTTGACTGTAAGCTAGCTGTTAGCCAACTTTCGTGATTAAAATTTGAAAGTGATTTCTAATGCTATATTTTAGAAAGCAGTATGGATTGGCATATATATATCTCCTTAGAAGTTTTAGAAGTACTAAATTAAAGGTTAATTTAATTCTTATATCTAATTTTCTGGTTAGATGATAATGATACTGATCATTTACTCATAATAAAATGACCTTGACCTTGAGTAGAAAGATACACTGTTGCTGACAGTTTCAAATTAGAGGTTACTGAGATAGCACAAGTTACAGTTTACTGTTTGCATGCCTCTGTTTGTCACTCCTTCTCTCTGTCTGTCTCCGACCTAGCAATTTCAATTGAACATCAACATCTTGTCATATATACATCCATATCAAGCAACTAAAAAGTTTATATGTCTCACTGCATTTCTGATCAATTTTTTACTTGGTCAGTAATTTGACGTACATGAATTTCTAAACATATCATTTCAGTGATAAAAATAACTTTCTTCTAACATCTAGACTGATAAGAATCTAATATCGTTTGTAATTATTGGATAGAAAATAGAAAAGAATAATAGAAAATTTAAGAAAAAAAATTTTTCTGAGAAAATATCTTCAGTGGTAACTTTCAAAATTACAGAGCTATGACACAGCTGACATAGGATGGATCAGATTGGAAAAGAGTTAGCCAGTCAGCAGTCAGTGGTGGTCAAACCAAAACGTGACTTCATCAATCAATGAAATCCACAACAGTTAGTTTAAGCCATCCAGTCACATAGGGAGGTGTTCACTGACTTCCTAGTTGGGGTTCTTGGGACGGTGAAAGCCAATGAAGATTTGAGACAATTGGTGATATGACTCAAAATCGTTTTCACTCGATGGCTGGTGCAGATGCATCCACTCCTTGTGACTTATAATATCCAAAATACGGTTCTTCGATATTACTATTCTTTTTGCTTCATATCTCTGTTTACTATCTGTGTTTTGCATTTGTTTTTACTTTCTTCTCTTGTTTCGTGTGCTAATTGGAAGGAGTGTGGTGACTGGAACTGGTGCACATCTGTGCAAAGTAGTTCTACGTTGAAACCGGTCAGTCAATCAGTCAGACAGAACTATGAATCTTCGAGACTTCATCACTGTTTGTCTATTACCTCTCATCTTCTTAAAATACTGAGCTACTTTTAAAGAGTTCAGGTTTACAAAATGCTAAGTATCGTTAATAGGTTTCTCATGTATAATGATAACTGCATTAGTACTTAAGGATAGTTACATAGCTTGTTTTTGCAGCGAAGAAGATTCTTCTTACCGACTAAGTTATCATCGATGAATCGACATCAGTTGAATGATGATCAGTGAGAACCAGATAGACCTAACTAGCTGTTTCGTCTAAGTTTGAGACAATAACACTCATGACCCCACCACCAACAATCAAATCTATGAATCTTCGGTTTATGAGTGGAGCACGTTTATTGTTCATCCATTGTAATGGAGTCCAATGATTCAGTTCACGGGTTCACACTGCTAAGGATTTTCAACCTAGAAAAAAGTAGTTAATTGGTGGATGGTGGCTAGCAGTGGAATCCAGTCAGGATGCGCATTTCGTCCTATTTGAGACTCATCATCTGCATGTCCCTTCATTCCCCAGTGAGTGATGATGTTCCCAGTGTCCATAGTTTCAAACGACAGAGCGTTATCCACTAGACCACTTGGGTCACGAAAGCCACCTCTTGTGCAACGGGTCATATTAATTAATTCAATTTTTTAGATTTTCCCGTCGACTGATTGGACCGAAGTGCTCGGTCTTAGGTTGACATGTTCCCACTGAGGAAACATTATCACTCACTGGGGAATGCAGGTACATACAGATGACAAGTCCCAAATAGGACGAAATGCACATTCTAACTGGATTCCACTGCTAGTCACTATCCTCCAATCAACTAGAACAAAATAGATGTTTAACATTCTTTAGTTTAATGATTCTGTAAATGATGTTGATTCGTGATGAAATCTATGGTGAAATTTCGAACTCTTATTTCCATTTTCTGGAAATCACTTCCCCACCTATTTTTTGTGGGTCTATTATGCGTCTTATATTTATTTATTTTATTCCCTTGTGTTCCGAGTGGGACATAAGACTTCTGTCTTGAGGTTTGAAGCGCCACTAAAAGTAGTTTTTTTTATGAAATACGGTTACTTGCTTCACACCCAACCTTCTCTCTCCTAACCAGGTTTACTACTGACTTAACGAGGTTTAAGAGTGCGCCGGCTGGGGTTCGAAGCCCGGACAAGTTGCTGCGTAGTTAGAGAGCATTCTATTGCTGAAACCCCTGACGCTCATTATAGGTTTTAGTAAACGTGTATACCATTGTAAATTCTCTAAAGATGCTGTCGTCGATAAAAAAGTTGTCTTCGCTTATTCGTCCTACGCTTTTCAAACTTAATCCATCGAAAATAGCTATTTGGTTATATTTTGACGTCTGATTTATTGGGGAATTTCATTATGAACTGACATCAGTTAGAGAACCATTGGAAAGCCTGCAGCGAGTACTGGTCAGCTATTTCGTCAGTCCCCTTTGGTACTCTTCATCCGTACGCAGCCGATAACCGGGGTTTGAATGGAAGACCTTTGACTTAGTTTACCTGTGAAGGATACTCTTCGCTCAACTTCACCTTCGGACAGTAATGCATATTAATTTTTGCCACACGCACGTAATATGCTACTTAGTAATTAATAAGTAGTATAGATATTTTCTACCAATTAACTGACTCAGAGTCCACTATTGACTCTTTTTTTCAACTGATGATTATTCTACGGAAGCATTCACATCACTTTGATAATAAGAAAGATACTTTTCTATACAATAACTGTTATTCGGTATCCCTTTTTTCTAGATTTGATGATAAATTGGTTACTTGTCTCTATCAGTGGTTTACTTGGACTTGGATTGTTATCCTTAACTTCATCAGCGTAAGTTCCACCTCACCACCCCCATCTACCTCGCATGAAGTCATCTCAGACACACACACACACGCGAACTATGTATGCATTATCATCATATTCATTGAATGAAGATATCAATATTTAATAATGGCTTCTTTTGAATTCATTGCCTTTTTTTCTAGCAGTTTGATTCTATGTATTTAAAGGTTGCTTCATGAGATTATCTTAATTTGTCATCATCTGGCGATAAAATGTATCGAATAAAAGCTGTTTGATGTTCGTTAACTTGTATGATTCTTTTTGTTTGTTTGTTCGTTGGTTGGTTGGCTTGTTTGTTTACACGCCTTTAACCTAATGCTGTCATTAACATATTAAAGCTTTTGCTGCCCTAATATTCAGTAGATTCTAAACATTCGTTCACATTCATATTTGTCTTGCATTGCTTTACGATTGTGTTAATATAACTTCCTTATTGTGGGATAGTTCATAATATTTTGGTATTTTAGCCTACATAAATTGTTTATCTGTGTTCTCAAATAATAGATGAAAGGAGCTTCCTTCCTTAATGTAGCCACCAAGATAATTGATAGTAAACGTGTTCATGGGAAAATTCTCTTTTTAGGATATTATAGAAAATCAAAACAAATAATTCAGCGAAAAGACTCCTTCAATTGGATACTAGTTGATAACGAATTTCATGAGTCGAGCTAGTCCTTGGTTAGTGGTGTAGACCAAATTCTATCCGTCAAGTTTGCAGTGTAACCCCACCATGTTATGTTAGATGGGTTTGGCCATCACGGTACACTGTGAATTGCCTTTTGGTGCTAGATGGTACTCAACAGTCAACAAGGCGTATCTGAAATCCCTTCTGAGAATCGAACGCGTATCATCCGGTTCTGCAGTCAGTGACGTTATCACTGATCTAGCGGGTCTCTCGAATTTCCAAGCTGTACAATCGTATATAATAATAGTAATATGAATAGTCACAAAAATTAATTGGTTAGTTCATGAAGTGTATAAATCTTAAAGTGGGGTTAGTGTAGAAAGAATATGAGCAGTGTGCAATTAGAACACTACTCAATAAGGTGATAATTATGATAAGACGACATTGCAGAATAATATATTTCCATCAATAATATAAGTGTAGTACTTGGGCACTGTGGTAGAATGTAAGTCCATATTAGATTAGTTTATTTCAAATAGCACTCAGTGATGCAGTATCAATAACTGGATGACGTTTCGAGCATAAATTATTGCCTATAATCATATCAATTTTCAAGTATTGGTTTTGCAGGGATTTTGTTTGATTGGTTGGCGGATTTCATCATGAGCTGACGTCAGTTAGAGAACCACTGAAAAACTGGGGAGTACTGGACCGTTGTTTCGTCTGCCTAGTTTCGCAACTCTTCATCAGTAAGCACCAACCGATCATGGTTCGAACCCACGACCTTCTGGTTACAAAGCGAGCTAGCTCATAGACGATTAAGCCACTGGGACCCGATTCAGTGGCCAGTGCATGAATTATAACTTCTGCCAATTCACGACATAGTGCGACCATTTCGCAATGTCTTCTTTGATGAGTTACTGCCATACGTTCAACCTGCTGTACCCTATTGGTCATGGCTTCCTACTAGAATTCCAGGTAACTACCTACCTGAATAGGGTCAGTTGCTAGTGAGCATCAGATCAATTTTCAAGTATTGCTTTTGTAGAGATAATGTGTGGTTAGTTGGAGGATTTCATCATGACATCAGTTAGAGTACCATTGGTGTTCACCTGCCATTGGATCGGGTCCCAGTGGCTTAATTGGCCACCAGCTCGCCTTGTTACCAGAAGGTCCTGAGTTGTCATCTGAAGTGGCGATAACCAGCGATTTCCGTTAGGGATACCCACTGTGCTGATGGACTTAATCCTAACTGACTTCAGCGACTCAGGGGTTGACTTGTTACCAGGGAATGAATAATCTCGTTGACTTAGAATATGCAAATGATATAGTCTTTCTAGGTGAGTGAAAACGCTGACAAATTGCACAGTTTTCTGAACACCTTGAGGAGCTGCAATCTATGAATTTTTGGCATGCGACTCGCTCCCGCCAGATGTAAGATGACGAGACTACAGGACTGCACAGATACAAAAGGCTCGTGTGGCATTTGCCAACCTGCATCATCTGTGGAGTAGACGTGATATCCGACTATCCATCAAAGGTGTATATTGCGCGTCAGTCCGCTCATTCCTCGTATATAGCTTTGAGTGAGACGTGACAATTGAAAGTGGAAGACATGAAAAGGCCGGTTAGCTGTCTTTGATCGTAGGTGTCTGCGTTCTACCTCCAGTGTTAGTTGGTATAATAGGGTGGGGAATATTGGAGTTAGACATCGAGTGTTAGGTAAAGGGGAGGGCATCTGTCGATGTTGTTATGAAGTCACACCGATTGACATGGTCAGGAGATGTGTTACAGATCTCTAGCCATCGCCTTCCTCGACCGACGGGCAATGTTAGCTAAAATAGGAAGAAACAGGTTGGAAAAGAGTTAGCCAGTCAGTGGTGGTCAAACCAAAGCCAACACGGCTTCATCAGCCAATGGAATCCACAACAATTAGTTTAGGCCAGCCATGTAGGGTGGCGTAGACTTCCTGGTTGGGGTCCTTGAGATGGTAAGAACCATGTGACAACTGGTGATATGTCTCAAAATCCTCATGCTCAATAGCGCAGACGCATTCACACTGTGTGATTTATCATATCCCATAAAACTTTACTCTCCTGCCACATTACTATTTTGTTCGCATTATATTTCTGTTTATTATGTGTGTTTTGAATCTCTCTTTACTGTCTTCTTTTGCTTTGTGTGCTAAATGGAGGGAGTGTGGCGACTCGAACTGCTGCACATCTGTGCGTAGTAGTTCTACGTTGAAACCAGTCAGTCAGCGTCTTATCATAATTATCACCTTGTTGCGTAATGTTATAATCGTGCACTACTCTCTTTCTTTCTACACCACCCGACTTTGAGATTTATATAATTCATGAACTATTTTATAAAGTACACAACCAATTAGTTTTTGTTACCATTCATATTATTATTAGTATTAAAAAATCATATTTATTTACGATTGTACAGCTAAGTAATGAGTTCGTAGAAAAGAATCTGTCTACGCTGAATCGCTTGTTTTGATTTTGGTATAAAAAATGTTCCTTTTTGGGTACTGAATGTATCAGATCAAACTGACTGCAATGCATCTTCAATTTGGGTATCACTATCGAAAATCTTATCTACCTTAAGATTTTATGATACTTTTTCGAGTTATAGATAATAAGTAGTATAAAACTAAGTTGTGTATATATTTTTTTTGCATGCATTTCACTTTATCAACACCTTATTTAACTTTCATCTACTCATTAAATAATCAAAAGTTGTTTTTGGAATTTTAGGATTATGTCACTTTTTCGTAATTTGGCATGGTTCTCGAAAGGGATGCGTGAATACACAAAGTAAATCATTCATTGTATTTGAGGGAAATGTGTAATTATATATTTTATTTTTTTATTATTTTTTTCGAAAGGAGATGTGAAATGTGATCCATAACCTTAAATTGTAGTAAAATATAAAGAGTTGACTAACCTTCATGTAATAACGTGTTCTTATTTAGCGTATGAGAAATGTAAGTTGAAAAAAGTAAAAGTTATTAAAAGCCTTGTTTTATGACGTCTAACTTAAATTGCACCGTCTCTTACCACTTTCTTTTTCCGATATACATTCAAAAACTTTTTACTGACGGATTATTCTTATTATTATTATTCCCTTGGATTCCGAATAGAATATTTGTTGACCAGTAGGTTCTAATCCCTTGTGATCGGCTATCTGATCTTCAGTATGGAGCTATCAAAAGCAGCTGCTGATAAAAGTCTACGACATGTTCGAAATGCTTTACGTGACGGTTTAGCCAAGTTTCTGATCCATATAGAAGGGCTGACTGATTGGCTAAGCATTATTATTATTATTATTACTATTATTATTATTTCCTTTAATTCCTAGAGGAACATAAGGCTTCAGCCGCGCGTCTCCATTACGTTCGGTTCTCTGTCAACCTTTTCAGCTGGCTCCACATCTGCCCACATGCTTTCATCTCTTCACATCACCTCCTCCATCTCTCCCCACCCTCGCACTGACGAACAACTCACCGCTTCCCAATCAGGTTCCACTCAAGCGATGGCCTGGCGTGTGATATCACTTGATAATTTGTTTTCTCAGAGTATGGCCAATCCACCTCAATTTCTTCCTGCATATTTGCCGCACAGAGATTCTTGTTGCTGATCTTTTCTGGCCCACCATCTGATCTTGAGTTTCGAGCGAAAGCAGCTGTTGATGAAGGTCTGTAGTTTGTTCGAAGTGCCCTTCGTGATGCGCCAAGTCTCTGATCCTTAAAGTAACACTGACTTCACACGAGTTGAAAATCCGGACCTCGTTTTTCATACTGAATGCCGTTGACCTCCACACAGACTTGAGAATAATAAAAGCTTACCTTGCTTTCCCGACCCTCACCTTGATGATGTCCCCATCAGTTGCGTCCGCCTGTAGTTGAAACGATGCTTCCCAGGTAGGTAGGTAGCTAGGTAGGTAAAGGAGGTTGCTTCTTTCAGATTTCTCCCATTTATGCTGATTGTTGTCTGTTTTAGTTACTGTTGCTGTTGGCCAGGAATCTTCATCACCTCTGTTTTCTCTATATTCACCCGAAGGAAGTCCTCTCTTTGATGCTTCTTCTGCCAGCTTGTTGCTTTTCATTTGGATATCCTCCAGTTTGTGGGAAATCAGACATATATCATCGGTGAAGTCCAGATCCTCCAAGTTTTTTATGTGGGTTTATTTTATGCCTGTTTCCTGGCTGCGCGCCTCTTTCTGTCGCATTATCCAGTCTACCGCAATCAGGAAAATTATTGGAGCCTTGTCTTACTCTCGTCTTCACTTCGAAGGATTCCGTGAGTTTCCCCTTTGTGGCTTACTTCGCATGCATCATTGTCGTACAACTGTTGGATGAGATGTATAATTGTTGGCAGCACCCCGTAGTATCGAAGTAGCTGCCAAATCACCTCTCGTTCTATGCTGCTCTGTCGAAGGCCTTTTCAAAGTCAATGAAGTTGAGATAAAGAGCTAACTACCGAATTTCGCTGTTTATGCTGGATACAGTGCAGTAGATTTCTAAAATGATTTCAGTGTGATGAAGGTGTACCTCATCTTTCCGATGCTGACTGCCTTTCACATCCTCATCCGTTCCGCTTATAGTTGAAACGATGCTGACGAGATTGGTAAAGAATTGACTTCCTACAAATTTCTCTCGTTGATAGTGATTAGTGCTTGTTGTTGTTGTTGGTGGTGGTGGTGATGGTCTCCAAGTATCTTCATCACCTCTGTTTTCTCTTTGTTCACTTGAAGTCATTTCTCCACTTCTTCTCCTTCTGCGAATTTGCTGGTTTTCTCCTGTAAATCTTTAAGTTTTTATGACATTAGACATAATTCATCCGCAAAGTCCACATCTTCTGAAGTCTTTTTATCGGTGGTCCAGCGTATTCCTGTCTTCACGCTCTCCACGTACGATATTTCGCATAATCCAGTCCACCACTATTAGGAATATCCTTGGTGTTTATAAGGCAACCTTGTTTACTTTACTCCTGTCCTCATTCATTCTTCACTGAGTTTTCTGTTGTGGATCATCTGACATGTGACATTGTCGTATAGCTGTCGAATGAGGTTACTGACGGATAATAACTACTAACTTCTGTTATATTTCTCCATGATATTTAACTATATCGCCTCGATGAGTAGTTACGAGAAGCATCTCGTCTGTGCAAATCCATACCTACTTAATTCAAGTCAGGCAACTGTCAGCGTAATTCTTTCAGTAAGTCAAATGTAACCCTCGATTCGGTACATTGTCATCAAGTGAAAGTTGGAGTGAAATATGGGAGTATAAATCCACCATCTACCAAATGTTAATACTCAGACATCATCAGAGGTAACCATACTAGCAACTGACATGTCAACAGAGACCTAACTTCTCGGCGCAATGAATCCGCGGTACTAAGTTTCAGTGTAATCATTCGGGAGTTGGTTTACTATAATCCGATTGATTAAGGCTGGTAGCTTATGAAGGTTCACAGTATATGCACTATAATGCAAAGTTGTCTGTAGTCAAATACTTACTCACAGTCCTTAGTTTTTCATTAATAATGATTAACTGGTGACGTAGATAAAAGTGGGTGGTGATCAGGAGGGCTTCGTGTGCAGTTGTTACTTCCCAGCTGCCCACATCGTGGGAGTTGATTTTTTCCTTAGAGTACTTGAAACAGAAGGAACACTAGTGTTGTGTGACTGCAGAGCCCAAGAGACAACTACTTGAAACTTGGCTAAAGCGTCAAGCAATGCATTTTGTACAAGTTGCAGAGTTTACCTCATAGCTGCCCTCACTGTGTATTGAAGATCAGATTTCAGGACAGAAAGGATTACCAACAAAAAATTCTGTGAACGAAGCATTCAAAAACCTATTGCTCAACAAATATTCCGAAAGGACCTGTTGAGTGACATCGCTGGAGTATAACTCGAGTGGGACCTGCGAGAAAAAGCCGAGAAACTTTAGGCGATTGTAGGACCAGCTGAAATAACCTGTAGAGAATGAAACAAAGTGAAAATGTTCTGTTGGAACACACTATGTTCTACTCGGAACTTTAGGAAACAATAATAACAAATATTGTTGGTGATTTTGAGACTATTAGGTTGCACTAACTTTCTCTGAAAGGAAAATATTGATATGAAAAAGAGAAGACGTTCAGCGAAGAGACTCTTTTCAACGGTGAATTCATTCACATAGCTGTACAATCGCATTTATATATAATTATTTGTGTGTGTGTGTGTGTGTACATCAGGTTTGTCAAGTTTAGATAATTGATCAGGTAATACAAGAATGATCTAATATAGAAACAAGGTTTATTAGACAGCAACTAAAGCAAGATTGAATTATAGGTTTCCAGACCGTAGGTGTTACGAACTTCCTGGAATAATTTGAGCGCCGAGTCAGATTGATTCATTATAAATTATTTAAATTAATCCCAGCGTGTTAAGAAAATCAAAACAAGATTTTTCTGAACGTTTCGCTGTGTAAGCCACAGTTTCTTCATCAGATTTATCTGTATGCAGAGTTCAGGATTTAGCAAGTGGATAGCCATTGCTTCTGCAGTTTGAAGAAGTTCGTTCAATCACTACACTTGCAATGGACGTAATCTATCTTATTACGCGACAAGTCAATTTTTCCTAATCTTTTATTTTCATTCTGTCTCTTCATTACTATTATTTTGTCTTCTCAATTGTAATATTTTACATTTTCAACCTTCTTGTTCTCTAACCCTCCCACCCGATTCAATTCCTACACTTCACTACCACTGTTACTGACTTGACCACCGCTCAATTTCTAGTCATTTATGTTACGTCATCTAACTTATTTGCTCAATTTAAGTTCTAATTTAAATGGCGTTATTCTCTACCCCACTTCTACTTAGTCTCTACCTGTAATTGCTCACCTCTGTTGCTACCCTGACCTGAGTTGAAACATTTTAGTCATTTATATATTACGTCATCTAACTTGGCTTACTTACTCAATCTTACTTTAGTTGCTGTCTGTCTAATTAACCTTGTTTCTATATTAGATCATTCTTGTATTACCTGATCAATTATCTAAACTTGACAAACCTCATGTACACACACACACAAATAATTATATATAAATGCGATTGTACAGCTATGTGAATGAATTCGCCGTTGAAAAGAGTCTCTTCGCTGAACGTCTTCTCTTTTTCATATGACTCAATGGGGATTTTTAAAAATATTGATATGAAGCTAAATATATTTCCTAGTAATATTGGTGTATATACCTCTAAATCCTGTATTGCAAGCTTTTGTATTGGATAATCATCCTGCCATCAATTGTTTCAATATTCCAAATACACATCCATAGTAGTGTAATAGAGTAGAGAAACTGTGTTCGAATATACTGTTGTCCTAAGGTTATCAAAAAAGCGGCAGTAGAGTGGGTGAAAAAGATACTTTCCATTCAGGAAAACGCAGCAGTCAACTAGCCGATATCTATCTTAACTGTGATCATGAGTTAATCCTTTTCTTTCTTTCTGTCTCAGTTCACTGTGAACATTTTGATTGGACACTAGTAACTAGTGTGACGTTCTAGTCCTTTCTTTGGTGCAAACTGAATTCTATCAGTCAGGTTTTGCAACCAGGTTCGAATCTCAGAAGGGACATGAGTTCCTTCAAGGTTGCAGATACACCTTGCTGATGAGTGTCAACTAGCACGAAACCTAAGTCAAGCAAGGCTTCCTGTCGATTGCCTCCAACTATCTAATATCAGTGTGAACATATTTGTTTTCTTAACATATTACGTCAGCGGCTGATATTTTCAGGATTATAATTTATACAACCTTTGAAACTGCCTTAATTGTATAACACATTAAGGGATAAATGAAACTTCATTGTTTTTTCTCTCTTATGGTTTTATGTTTTCACCCTTTAAGATCAGGTTATGAATCAGCCGCTACACACTTTGATCCTACTGAATTAGTCAATGTTCGCTTAGACAATCAACGTGTTTTAGTTACTGGGGCGAATTCAGGCATTGGATTTATTTGCTGTAAAGAATTGGCTAGACATGGTGCAGAAATTCATATGGTTTGTCGTAATAAATCTAGAGCTGAAGAAGCACGACAACAATTAATTGCCGAAACTGGAGTCAATGCATCAGTTAGTTTTTTTTGTTTTTTTTTTTGAAAATTCTTTAATGCCTTTCACTAATACTTTTTCTCCTAAATAAGTAAATAATCCAATGAATGGTGGTATGCGTTCAAGGTCATTGGTGCGATCGGACTCCGTGGTCACTATTCTTTTTGTTTGCCATGATGAGACTAGATCACGATAGTCTGGATATCCTCGCTGACGCCTATCTCCTGGGTCTGGAGATATCCTTATTGGTTAACTTCACTCTCGCAGTGCTTTTGACCACATCTATATCTACAAACAACATCGTTTGCATTGGTAGACTCACTTCTACCTTCTTACTTTCTTATATGGAAAAATGCGTACTTCCTATCTCTCGTCGTTATATGTATTGGCTTAAGTAAAATGGGCTGCGGGGGGCAGTTAGAGAGGTCCTATAATGTTGTTGACGTAGTAAAGCAGTATTCGTGATCAGCACGTCTAAGGCCATCATAGACGTCCCTAACCTACTTCAGTCATAATGTTATTGCGCAATCAGGTGACTTGTGCATAGTAGATATATACATGGATATCACAGATAAATGACCTTGAACCAAGCAATCAGATCGCTCAGCATTACAAATGGATGCTTGTCATAACTAACCGTCATTGCAAGTTTCACCCTGATTCAGGCTTAAGGATAGAGTAGGATCAAGGTATGGTGATTATGATTAAGGTTAGGGTAAAACTTGCAACAAAGATTATGGAAGGCAACCACTTGTAATGCTGAACGATCTGATTGGTTGGTTCAAGGTCATTGGGCTGTAGTGTATATTCTGTACTGTTGGCTAGATTGTTAGATAGATCGAAAGTGTATGTCGTTAAAAAGTCCCGTAGTAAATAAGTAATTGATTTTTAACCTCATGTACACTTACATAAGTTGGTTAATTAGATCTCGGTTACCGGAACTGCATTTTCCCACTAACACTCTATGAGAGCTATCCAGATTGAGGTAGATGGAGTCATATAGGTAGTAATAATAATAATAATAGTATAATATAGCTATCCCAGTTTAAATATATGTTGTTATTCGAAACACAGGTGGGCTCTGGTAGGTTTCATTGCATGGTATTCGTAAACATACTAAATCGACTTATTATATATCGTTAAAACAGAAATTTGCTACCTCACATGGTCTCAGTTTGTGTGTAGGAGCTGGGATACTGCACAAACACCCAGACAGAAGAGGGTGATTGTCTTAAATGGTTTTAAAATTTGAAGTCTTCTCCGCAAAGTAGTCGGGCTTCCTTCCTATGGAAACAAACTTAAAATAACTGTTCTTATAACTGAAAAAACGGGGTGAATTGAATGAAGACAAAGAGAGAAAAATCACTCACACACAGAGCGAAAAAAACAAAGGCTAAGGGAACATACCGAACTAGGTTCATGGTAGTTGTAAAGGTTGGACTAGTTTCTTTTGAACATATAGATCCGGCTTTTCGATGCATATTGCGAGGGCTTCTGAAGTACAAAGAAGTTGGAAACATACTGCCTTTGGTAGGCTTTTGTTTACTTTGTAAATGGCTTCGAGTAAATCAGTTGACATGCTGTAGGAGGTGTTAATCAGGTGTTCAATTATGGCACTTTTGATTGGACCGATGCCTCCTCTATGCAGCCATGCTGGGTAATGTTCTCTAACACGTTTTGAAAGGACGCGCATACAACGACCTATGTACCTAGCTCCGCAAGAGCATGTGAATTGAATTGGTCATATGCGGGAGTTTGTCCTTTACATTGTTTAGAAGTATTGGGCGGCTAGAGAATGCCAATTGATGCTGCGAAGGTCTTCTTTAGGCAGCTAGAGATTCTTCTCTTTAGGATATTGGCTGCCAAGTCTCCTGTGAAGTTCAGATTCATATACAGAGTTTTCTATGGCGTTGAACTGCATTCTTCTCTTTTTGGTTTTGGTTTCATGTTCTTGTCGACAAAACGTGATGGGTAATCAATTTGAGTCAGGATATTTTTGAGGGATAGGAGCTCCTCTTCCAAGCAATCACTGCTTTAGATTCTTCTAATACAGTGAGTTAGCACGATGATGAGAGCTCGTTATCGGCTCACAGGTATCCAACCATAGAAGTGCGTTAGTTGGCCGTTCCATGTTGGTTTTCTGTCTATGGATCTCTTCAGAGTTCCACCATCTCTTCCTGTTAACTCCACATCCGGAAATGAAATCTTTGAATTGTTTTCTAAGTCCATTGTGAATTTAATCGAAGGACGGGAATTATTAAATTATTATCACAGCAGACTATAAAAGTACGACAACTCCGACTTCAGTTGTATCTTACAAGAATTCAATAATTCCCATAAAACTACATACTACTGATCAATTGAGATGAGTAGTTATGCATATATCATTCATGTCAACTAAAGGTGCTTGTTAGCCTCAAGATCAAGATAATCTAAGCATCGGATGGCCGTTTCACTCGTTTCAAGCCGAGCTCATCAGCAGTGTACCCGGTTTGACTTGGTTGATTTCAATTGATTCCGCACTCTAAGCTGACTCAAACCGGGAACACAGTTTAGATCACCTCAGGCGGACTATCAAACACTTCAGATTGCCTACAAAGTGGTGATAAAGAACTAGAATTTTCACCCTTACAGCTCAATAGTCAAATTTATTATGAAGACTAGTACACTGGGGTTCCACTAACCCACCCACTTGTATAACCAAAGCGGGAAGTTACGGAAATAATATCTGTTTGTCAATTTTGTTTAATGAATATAGGAAGACAACAGTGAATTGTTAGTCCGGAAGATAATAATAATTTGCTTTATTCCAGAAACAGTACTAGTGGTACAGTATGGAATTTTCAGCACATATCTACAATATTTGCATCTAATTTTATCCAACGTTTAAAAGGAGTATTTTCGAAACAAAAAGAAAATAAATATAAATACACCAACAGCAAAAAACACAAAATAATTTTTTTTTAAATGCGAAAAAATACCAAGAAGTCGAAAGGAAAATAAACAACAATAAATAATATCTTAGTATTGGGTAGTGGAAGCTGTGATATGTTTATGCATGGTGACAGTAAAGCTATAGTCATACAAGAAGTTGTGAAATGATATTTAAGATTGTTTATCACCAAGATGATCAGTTAATTTGGTTGAAACAAACACTAAACAATCATAAAATAACATTTCAGGGTTGGTGTTTTGTTTTTTATAGTCAGGTCTAATGCAGTGTTTGTAGTGGTAGTGTGTGTAATCCTGCATAATACAAAACTTTAAGGTGGTGACAATGGCGTTCACAACCAAGATTGTCAGTTAATATTGGCGAAAAAAATAGAAAATAAGAAAAAACAACCACAAAAACTAATAATTACATGATGGTTAATGACAGGACAATTTTGTACAACTCATAGTGCTAATATAGTCGGAACCGGTAGATAAAAAAAGAAGGAATACAGTAAAGTACAAAAAAGTAAGCCAATGTTAGTAATTTAGGTAGCTAAGTGTGTTTAAGAAGGAGTTCACTATAGAATACAAAATAAGAGAGAAATAAAAGAGCCTAAAATTACGTTATTAACAACAAAGAAAGTCATAGGTTTCGCGCTTAACATTGTCTCTGTCGCTTAGAACACGGGCCAAGTATGGTATCGTTGAGTTCCTGTACTTGGTTGTACGAGCATAGATTATTTCATACTGATTTCTGGTTCTACTTGATGAGATACAAGACGAGAGTTGGGAGTAGAGGGGATGTTCGGGGTCGGAGAGTATGGTTTTAGACCATTTTTCGCATGTATTCAGATGCCTTTCAACTAATGTAGTGACGAGCTGACTGAGTTTTACACCACTAGTCCTACTAACTACCTTCAACATCCTTCTCAGGATGCTATAGTCCTTTTTCAGTGGCCCAGGAAAGACTAACGGGGAGCAGTAAAGTAGAATAGGTAAGATACAAGAGTTGACAAATTGTGAAAGTAGAGGTTGGGTGATTCCAGATTGTCTAAGTTTCTTAATGTAGTAGGTTAGACAGAATACTTTCTTAGAAATCGTTAGGAAATGAGATGTCCAAGTAAGGTCGGAAGACAGAACTAGACCGAGGTATTTAGCATTAGACTTAGTTTCGATTTTAGTCCCCCTCATCAATAAATTATGACTTCTACTTTGCCAAAACGACTAATTCCATTGTATTTTCTTTTTTTTCTCTGTGTAATTAATTTCAGCGTGTGGTTATTCATTCACTGGATCTGTCTAAACCGTTTGATGTTTGCAGCTTTGGGAAAAACTTTGCCAAAAGTCATGATTCACGACTGGATATTTTGGTAATCTTTTATTACTATTTATAGTAGTATTCAGTAGTATATTATGTTTATTATTATTTTAATCATTTCAGTTTTCTTATTAATTTTACAGTCTCAAAACTATTTTATGAAATATAAAAGTAAAATCTGAGCATTGTAATAATAGAGCATAATATCATATTCGATGAATTCATTTACTGTCGCAGACTATTAACAAGTAGATGATGTTTTGAGCGCAGTTTAATATATTCACTATCAGGTCGCCTGTATTCACACGACATCCTAAATCATCGGTTTGCACACGTTCCGAACGTATCTTGGATCGGCGTTGCGTCGTCATTCCTGAGTTCCAACCCCGGTGAGTGCGTACTGATGGAGAGTCCCAAACGAGGCTGACGAAACAGCTGGCTGTCCAGTACTCCCAGCTTGTTTTCCAATGGTTCTCTAACTGATGTCAGCTCATGATGAAATCCTCCAACGTAAATGTTTTACCCTAGTTATTTGGATATTGAGATCTTCTAAGGCGCTGATTCCTATTGCAATACAAGCCGAGCTGAGGAAGCCAACAATGCTGCCGTACGACTACAACTACGCATTTCTGGATTCACAGTTTGGCTCAATATCTTAGTCCCCTATATTTTGACAATCTTCCGTGCCCTCCTTTGGAAATCTGTGTTAATCTTCGTGCATCCTTATCAGCTATTTGTCAGGCATATGTAGGGAAACACTGACTGAGTTTCGTCATTGAACGGACATAGCACAGGAGTGCAACAGTTCTAAATGTCACACTTGATGAAGCATATAAAGGCCGAACATTGAGAAAGATTAGAATTTAATAGAGAGGGAAAACCGTAAAAAGCCAATGCATCTGCGCCATTGACAACGATTTCGAGTCATATCACCAATTTTCGCTAGCCATTGGTTCTTAGAATCCCAATAACCCCAACCAAACAAGCAGTTTGCACTTCCTTATATGGCTCAAACCAACTGATTCCATGTTTTAATTTGACCAATGCTAGATAAGTCTTCTCTAACCTGATCCTATGTCAGCTAGCATTGACCATCGAGGCAGTCTATGGTCGGGTATGCGTAACACAGCCGTCGTCATTCATATAGCTTCAAATTCTCTTCGATTGACTTCCCCTGCTTACCTAACACGTGACATCTACCCTCAATATTAGTCACAGCCTATTATACCACCAAACATGGGAGATGGAACGGAGACACCTCTGATGAAAGATAACTATATTTTTCATATCTTACAGCCATAAAGGAGGACAGAGCGAACCTCTGCTCAGTACACACGTCCTTCGATCGATAGCCGGGTATTCCCTGAGGGAAAAGAACACAGTTGTACTTAAGATCTTGCTATCCATTGAATAATTCAGTACTGGACTGGTGTGTTCAGTTTCCATGAGGAAATACGTATACAAAACTTCTCTGTTAAAATAATGTTGTTTAATGAAAACCTAAATATTATGTTGTCAGTTATGCCCGTTAATTTTATAAATGACGGATGTTGCATGTTGTGTATCCGCTCTCTTTTGAGCAGTTTGCCGTTAAACCTGATTTCCTTTTATTATATCGGTCAATTTCATTTTGTGTTTTTCCTTTTTATTATTTCTAGATAAATAATGCTGGTTGTATGATAAACGAATATAAAACTGATGAAAATGGTATTGAGGCTAATTTCGCCACGAATACCCTTGGTACTTATATACTTACTGAGTGTTTAATACCTGCATTGGAAAGGTCGCCAGATGTAAGAATATACGTATTTACAGTCAGATGACAATATATATATGTATACCAATAATTGTTTTTGAAGAGGTGTAGTTTGTAACAACAGAAGGCAAGGGTCAGGCAACAGATCGTTTATTAAGGAAATCAAAGCATATTTATATATTTTCATGTACATTATTATAGTTTAATTAAGTAAACAACACAGTCTTCTGATTGGTTGTTTCTCACTTAAAGTTAATCTTTCATCTATTTGTGACTGTTTCTTGAATGTCAAATCATCTATATGTTAACTGTATCCGCCTACGCAAAGTCTGCTATGGTCGGTTTTTGAATCAGTCTTTGTTCATATTTTCTCACGACAAATCTTGAGAACGTAAACATTGACGTCAATTACTGTCTACCAATTTGGCTAGTAGACAGCTCTCACCACAGTATTTTTTAGGGTGTTACTGTTCTCAGTGTTGTATGCCTTTTTCAAAGGTCAGTTTTCAGGGATTTTGATTGGTTACAGGCGTTTGATCTCGAGTTGACTGGTGAACTTGGGAGTACTGAAAAGCTGTTTCTTCCTAGTTTGAGTCTCTTCATTAGCATGCACGCACTGATCGCTGTTTGAATCCAGAATATTCTAGTTACCAGGTGGACTCGTAGACCATTCAACCACTGAGGCCCGATTCAATGGCCAGTCCATGAGTTCGAACTCCTGCTGATCGGCGATATATATATGTAGCCTATGTCATAGGCAAGTAAACCCTTCTCTTACGTGACTTGGTGGAACCCTGTTGGTTATGACTTCTCACTGAAATTCCAGGTAACTTCCTGTGTACAATCAGTTGCTAGTGAGCATCAGATTAATAATCAAGTGTTGGTTTTTCGGGATTTGGTTAGTTTTAAGTTAGATCACGAAATAACATCAGTTAGAAAACCGTTGAAAGCCTTGGAGAACTGACCCTTCAAAGGCAGAACGCACACATTACGCCACTGAAGATTAAACTCCAAACTTTCAGGTTAATTATACTAGCTTGTTGGCTAAATAGCCAGTGATTTATTGCTTTCTATCCAGCCAATTTCGTCGATGAATATTTGTCTTCAACGCCTCACCATGATGGCCTCCAATGGTCACAACTTTCCACTAGAACTCCAAACAACTTTGTCGTGTAGTCAGTCACTAGTGATTTCTCCTATTATTTTATTCCTTTACGTTCCCAGTGGAACGTCGGTGGCACAGTGGTTAGGACTTCGGCCGAGCATGCACATGGTCCGAGGTTCGATCCTCTACCGACGCACACCTGATATCAATTGATCGGCCTGCAAAACTTGGGCTACCTATATCAAATGATGAAAGTTCCATACCTGTACCAAAAATACGGTGTGGAATCAAGCTATAATTAAGCAAAAACATAAGGCTTCAAGCTGGAGTCATATATATATATATATATATATATATATATAACGCATTCAACCAAACCCATAAAAGACGTATTGTCGTATTGGGTCACTCCAACATGTATATACAAGTTCGCTTGTTCTTGTGGAGCTGAGTACATTAGGTGTACCATGCGTCCGCTTGTAAAATGCACTCGAGGATTCTATCCAACCTGACAAGTATGTACATAGTTCGGTAACGAAACATTTCGTGAAGTCATAACATCCATCCACATCCGAAAAGTCCTTCAAAGTCGTATATAGGATCCGATCAAACCTGTCAAAGGGAGTGAGATCAAGACGTCTGACTGGAGATAGCTGAGGTACTATCGATCCAAAAGTTCAAACCGATGCGATGTATTCATTTTGAATAAATCTAGCTATTGTCCCTACCATGTTCATCATAAAAACCCAATTATTTCAATAGTGAGTATCCAATTGTAAAGAAGAAATGGTCGATAAGGCTCAAAGGCGGTGTTTATTAGGGCAAACGCCTTGTAGGTACATACATTTGGTATACCTTATCTTTAAGTCTTTATTTGCAAATTGGTCGAATATCACCGCATTCGATAGCTTGTTGGATTCTGCACAGTGTTGTTGTAACGTTCTTCCCACAGTTCTCTGATTCAACTGCTTTTTCGACTGCCCAAAACAAATATTATGACTTTTCTGAATTCGTTTACTGATGTACTACTTATATCTGATTATAAGAAGCATTCACTACACTATCACCTTTCTTATTCAATCTTTCTGTTTATTTACGTTATTTTTACTACTTTTTCAATCTCTATGCTGTTCGTCCGTGGCACAGCAGTTAGGACTCTCACCGACCATGCACACGGTCCAGGGTTTGATCCCCTGCCGACGCACACCTGATATCAATTGGCCGGCCTGCAAAATTTGGGCTACCGATATCACATGCTGAAAATTCCCTACTTGTACCAAAAATACTGTGTGGTTTGAAGCTAAAACCAAAATAAAGAAATACTATGTTCATATTTATGCGATCTTGTTTATTATTCCATTTTAATTCCTATTTTTAATATATGTGTAAAACTTGGGGACTATGCTAGTAAGTGATCCCATATTAGTCTGTCTATGAGATCTATCACACACCGTGAAACAATATTATTTACTGGATGACGAGGTTTCGAACAAATCATATCAATTATAATCACACGACTTCAAAACTTGACTTTTATAGTTTTCTTTGTCTCCTCCTATTTGCCGTTGGGGTAGTAGAATTTTCCAGATGCCCAAGTGGACAAGTGTGTTGAATCATTCCTATTACATGTATCTGCAGTTGATTCGATAAACAAAGCTTCTGTTATCAATCTCTCCCTCCACCCTGTGACATTAGATTTTAAAACTGTCATCCTATCCTTTTCTATTGTATGGTTGTGTGTAACTGCATGTAGTGCTATAGCTGAACTATTCTCTAGATTTCTTATCGTATTTGAGTCAAATCAATTTTGGTCGAAATGTCATCCAGTAAATAATACTGTTTTACTGTGTGATACATCTAATAAATAAACTAATATGGAACCATTTTAATTCCGTTAACCTGAAATAGGTCTGGAACTTTCTCACCCATTTACCATAAATACACGAATGTATACCTGTCTATTTGATGACTCCGTTGAGAAGAAACTTTTCTTCACTGTAATCTGCTTATAATATTTTATACATGTCTATTCATAAGCATTTTCCTTCTTGAATTTTCATAGCCTCGTGTTATCACTGTCAGTTCAGGTGGAATGCTGGTACAGAAATTGAATCATGCTGAACCAATGTGTAAGAATAATTATGGTAAATTTGATGGGACTATGATTTATGCTCAAAATAAGCGTCAACAAGTTGTCATGACTGAAATGTGGGCTAAAAATTATCCAAAGATATTTTTCTGTTCAATGCATCCTGGATGGGCTGATACACCTGTAAGTTTTTTTTGTTTTTTTTATTAATAATTGATTTGCATTTTGTCTATTCCACTGAAGATGCTCGTTAAAGATTTAATAGACCCATTAATGAACAGAGAATAATTTTCCTTGATAAATTCATCATCGTCATGAGGTTCTACATTAATATGACCAATAATAATTAAAGAAATATTCTTTTTAACAACATCAATGCCTAAAATTTTATTGGTGGATGGTGACTAGCAGTGGAATCCAGTCAGGATGCGCGTTTCGTCCTATTTGGGACTCGTCACTGGATGTACCTGCTAGTCACCATCCACCAATTAACTTCTAATTATTTTGATTTGACACTAGTAACTAGTGCGATGCGTCTAGTCCTCTCTTTGGTGCAGACTGAATTCTATCAGTCAGGTGTGCAATATGGCCTCCATTCTAGGTAGCTTGCCATCACGGTGTACATCGTTTGTGACGATATTAGATGATTGGAGGCAATCGGCAGGAAGCCTTGGACCTAGGTTTCATGCTAGTTGGCACTCTCCAGCAAGGCGTATCTGCAACCTTGAAGGAACTGATGTCCCTTCTGAGATTCGGACCCGCGGGTCCAAGGCTTCCTACCGATTGCCTCCAATCATCTAATATCGTCACTAACTTCTAATTACATGCCCAGACATCATCGAAGCTTCTGCACAAGAAGCCGACATGTCAACTTGAGACCGAGCACTTCGGTCCAATCAATCGACGGGAAAATCTAAAATTCAGTTAAACATTAATGCTATTTTAAATTACACTGAGTCAATCAGTAGTATATACAGATAACACTTCAAAAGTAGCATCAGTAAGAGAGAGAGAGACAATATACATTTGTATAACACTAAACTGACCGAATATCAGATCAGTTGAGGGAAGTAATAGATAATTTATGAATTTACAGGTTAGATAAGAGGCCAGGGTAGTAGTAGTAGTAGTAGTAGTGGCAGTGGCTGGATGTACGTGTTTTTTTTCACTCACAGCTCCGGTTATTTTAAATGAATTGCAGTGGCGTCTGTTATTTGGGAGTGTTTGGCATCTAGAAGCCTTTGACCTGTGACTTGTTCTGACAAGGTGATTTAATATACAACTGTTGATGGTTTTAACTATACCTTCTTTATTTAACCACACTGGCAAGTGTTCCCGACGACAAAAAATCAAGTTCCTAGAGTAACAGGCAATATAACTGCCTCTACAGGTGCAGTTGAATGGATGGATACAATTGGAGGGCGGCTAGCGTAGGTACTTTTTCTTTCAGATTTAGAATGACACCCGATTGTGTGGAAAATATGAGCTGCAGCTTGCCGCAACTACAAACCCTCTTTGAATCGATTTTCTTAACTTGTTGGTTATTATTTCAATTCATGTATAATCCCCATCCAGGCATTAATGAAAACAAAACACGTAGATCAGCGAAGAGTCTCTTTTCGGCGAATTCATTTTCTTAGCTGTACAATCGCAAACATATATATGCGTTATTTTGTATGCATGTGCACATTAAGTTTGTCAAACAAAAATACAATTGGTTATAGTTATTTAAACTAAACAGGTGAAGATTGGCATTTGGAGTTACGTAATACAAAATCAGTCAAGAAAATTAGGTGTTATTGAAATTAGGGTAGTAACAAAGGTGATGAGTTGTCGCAAATAGTTGTTAAAAGAAGTTATGTAATAATATGAATAGTTCGATGAGTGAGTTTTACTCAGGATGCACATAGGAACAAAGTAGATAATACGAAAATACGTAAGAGTTCTAAATGAATACAAGAGTTATAAGCAATTAAAGAACAGGCAAAGAAACAAAATTAAGTCATCAAAATCAAAAAAATCAAATCAAAAAAGTTGTTAATTGGTTAGTGAAACAATTCGGTCTGCAGTTTTGTTTATTATGTTTGGCTCCGGTTGACTGAATACAGTCACCGAGACCCTTCGAACTCACGGATTTGTGTGTATGTGTGTGCTATCCCCAACTACCATATGGGTGATGTTGTTTTTCTTTCAAACACACTATTATCTGATTAAATTTGAATTTCTAATTCAATCCACATATATCGTTCTTTGTAAGTACACCATTGAGTGGGCGTCGATAATATCCATCTTTATTTATTGATCTAAATAACCCAAATATATAAAGGTTACAGATTTGCATTGGCAAACTAAGCGCTAGAAAATGTATCATCCTAGTTTTAACACTGGCTGACACTGATTAGCCAACTTGGAACTTTGCACGCATATAGATCGCTTCAAATTCCCGCCGTTTCAGCAAGAAGAACACAGAAATGAAGAGGAGTGGGTACTGCAGTGTAAAAAAATTGTTTAAAGTCTAGTCCTTTGGCGGTCTACTTGAATCAGTGGGCTACATGAATTTCTATCCGACAGACAATGCATCTTATTTTCTGTAATTCCTGTTGTTATAATCATTGAATTTATGTCCGTAGGTCGCTAAATGTATATATACTCATGCACATTTTTAATTGACTTTAAAGTTACGGTTACATTTCTGGGGGACTGAGGAAAAAATACCATAGAGAGAATTCCATTGTGGATAAAATTATATTTTGATAAAAGCACACAGTGTTTTATACAGTAATATTTACTGATGACAACATTTCGAGCACAATTTATTGCTGCTTATAATCACATCAAGGCACTACTCACACAATTGAGACCCTGCGTAGGATTCTCAATAAAGCAGGAATTAGGGTGGCATTCAAACGTATAAACCCATTCAGTTAGGACAAACTCTGTAGGTTGACCAATTAGAGAAAAATAAAATATAATTTAGAAACTATCTTGCAATAACTGTGAGTTAAATCAACTACATAGGTCAAACTGGTAGATCGGGAGTAATCAGATTATCAGAACATGAGAATTAAGCTAAGGTTAGAATGATTGATCCCATTCGCGAAGATAAGTAATTTAGAAAAAATCTCAGCAGTTGCACTGCATGTCTTAACACACAACCACACAATATGGTGGGTGGGAGAGGGTTAAGATTTTAAGAAGTAATCTATGTAGGTGGAGAGCAAGAGAGATTGATTACTGAATCCTGCCTGATTCATTGAGTCTACACCCAACACACGCAACAGAAATGACTGAATGCAAATACCAGAGAAAAGAAGGCGTTCAGCGAAGAGACTCTTTTCGGCGAATTCATTCACTTAGCTGTACAATCGCATATTTATACAATTTTGTTTGTGTGTGTGTACATTAGATTTATAAAGTTTAGATAATTATGTTATATAAGTAAATTTTGGCTTGGAAACAAACGTTAAGATGGAAAATAAAATAGAATTGATTAAGTGAGTAGAATTCAGATGAGGTCAGGTTGGAAACAGTGTTAATGAGTGGTGTTTAAAATCAATTAAGGGTGGGGTTAGAGAATAATACAGTTGAAAATAAGTAAGTTAATCGGATGACGTAACTCAGTTGACTAGAAATTGGACGTGGGTCAAGTTAGTAACATTGTTAATGAGGGTAGAGATTACAAAAGGGTGGGGTAAGTGAAGATGTGAAATAATAAAATGCAAGAGACAAAATAATACAATTAGTAAGACTGAAATTAAGAAAGATTACGTCCATTGTAGATTTAATGAATGAACGAATTTCTTTTGTATGCAAAGTTCAGGATTTAGCAGATGAATTGCCATTGCTTCTGCGATGTGGAGAAGTTTGGTCCGTACACTTTTAGCAAGATTGCCTTGTATTCTGTAGATAACTTTGAAGTTTATTTCTGGTTTGACTTGGTGTCCAGAGTCGATCAAATGTTCAAGGATCGAGCTCCGGGGGCATCGGTTTTCTCCTTTATAAAACCATGAAGGTAAATGTTCGTTGACGCGTTTGGATAGCGAACGCTGAGTACGGCCGATATACCTGGCTCCACACGAGCAGGTGAATTGGTAGATGCACATAGATGAGGCCAACAGCGGTAGCTTATCCTTCACGGACATACAAATCATTGGTCTCGCGGAGAACGTCAGTCGTAATTCAGCTGCAACGAAGGTTTTCTTCAATGAGCGGGAGAGCCGATTTCTCAGTATTTCTGTAGATTGGTCTCCATTGAACTGTAGGTTCATATAGAGAAGTCTTTTTGGAGCACTGGGTGTGGACGGCTTCTCTGGTCTGGGTTTCATTGATTTTGTGATAAATCTTTCTGGATAGCCATTTTCAAGGAGGATTTTCTTAAGAGTGTTCATTTCATCTTCTATGGCGTCCAGGCTGCAAATTCTACGTATTCTGTGGCTTAGTGAACGGATTAAGTTTTGTTTAGTATATAGAGGTACCCAACTGTGGAAGTTAGTGAGCTGTCCGTTCCACGTTGGCTTTCTGTAGATGGATTTTTTTAATGTCCCGTCTTGTTGGCGTCTCGTCGGTTGAACGTCAAGAAAAGATATCTTTGAGTTAGACTCTTTCTCTAGCGTGAACTGAATCGCAGGGTGGCAGTTGTTGAAGAACTTCAGGATATCTTCTAAATTCTCTTCGTTGTTGCAGATGATGAAGGTGTCGTCGACGTATCTCTTGTAGAGTTCAAAGTTGTCAATCATATTCTTTAAACAAGTGTTTTCGAGTTTTAACATAAAGAATACCAGAGATATGGAAGATATTATTACCACCAGTCAGTCAAATCACAGGAAGATAATAAATCATGTTAAGATGTATTTCCATTCACATACATTATAGCATTCTAACAAGTTATAAATTTATTTTACTATAAAAAGATCTTATCTCCCATCTGATTGTATTTTATTGATAACGCTAATATTATTATATCTGAATGCACTTTATCTAATACTGATTTTATTCAAATGTCTAATAAGGTTGAACTCATGTATATAAGTGAAGCAAGAAAGTTGAGTGAGTGTCTTGATGTGATGACGATGAGCAATAATAATAAATTGTGCTCGAAACGTGGTCATTAGTAAATATTACTGTATAACACTGGGTGATGTTATCAAAATAAAATGTTATCCATAATGGAGTTATACTCTACCACAGTGCACAAATTTTATCCTTATACCATAAAGAACTGCTCTATTCTTCAGATCGAACAGAACTGCGTCACATAATGTACTAGAGATGGCTGTTTTGCTTAAAACTCTTCGATGAAGAGAAAATTTACGCAACGGAATACGCAGAAAATTGTGCATACTGTATAAACGTATTGTGAAGAATAAGGCTTTGCAATTAATAGTGTTCTCTGAGCTGGTTGATTTAGTTGCGAAGCTTTCTATAGAAAATGGTCAATACATATGTAAAGATAGTTACCAGGAGACGCAATTATATCACTCATGAAGAAATTTAAATCATTTCACTTTGTGCTAAATATGGCGCTGAAAGGGGATGTTGTCCAGAAGGACGACGAAAGCTTTGCCACTAAACCAACCAGCTCAGAGAAAACTATTAATTGCAAATCATCCACCTGGGCTACAAATCTTCTCTATTATTTCAAGAATAAGGCTATTATTATTTATTATGGTGTCAGTTAAAGAACCATTGAAAACCAGCAGGGTGTATTGATCAATCACTTCGTCCTGGTTTGCGACTCTTCATCAGTACGTACCCATAACTACCCCCCACCACCACCACCACAAGCACCACCAAGGATCATCGAACCCCTAACGCAAAATAGCCTGAAGTCCCAGTGAGAAGTAGTAAGCAATTGGTTTTGATCAGAAGAAAAGAATAATTTGCTAAGGAAGGAGTTGTATTGTTCGTTTTTTATAGTTGTCAGCAGTCAAACTTTCTGTGTGTTTTTTTTCACCCCCATTAGGCTGTAGCTCTGTCAATGCCATCATTTTATAAACGAATGAAAAACAAACTGAGAACAGCGGAACAAGGAGCTGACACCATTATCTGGTTGTCAATGGTACCAAATGTTCGAAGATATCCGAATGGTTCTTTCTTTCAAGGTAGTTTTTATGCACATTTTTATTCTTCTTTTTACTTGTTTCTCCTATTGTTGTTGTCACTTTTTTCTTATATGATTCACTCCGGCGGCCTGTTAAAAATTTGAGCTAGTAGTAGAAAATTTTCCTGTCCGTTTTGTTTTAATCGACTAGAATATATGACCTCTAATAGTGTTATTTACTCTCTCGAGTATTTAAAGTGTATTATTTTTATTTCTTCATGTTCCCAGTGGAACATAGGACTTCAAGTGAGAGCTTAAAAGTTTTGGTAACAGTGGTATTTATTTTTACAGGATGGGGTTGCTAGCCTCATGTCCAACCTTCCTTCTCTACCGGTTTTATTACTGTGTTAGTGAGGTAAAGGAGTGCGTTGGTGGCCAGGGATCGAACCCCGTACCACATTAGGCGTGATCCACTAGACCACTTGGGCGTGGTTGGTGAGCATTCTACCGCTGTGTGCTACCGGCGCACAGTGGTTTATATGAAAAACTGAACCAAGTGATTAGGGGTTAATTGGTGGATGGCGACTAACAGTGGAATCCAGGATGCGCTTTCCATCCTATTTGGGACTCGTCAACTGGATGCACCTGCATTCTGCAGTGTGTGGTGATGTTCGCACTAAGGTTCAAACCCAGTGTCCATAGTTTCAAACGCCCACTGTTAGTCACCATCCACCAGACATCGTCAAAGCATCTGTACAAGAAGCCGACATGTTAACCTGAGACCGAGCGATTCGGTCCAATCAATCGACGGGAAAATGTAAAATTGAATTAAATAAAGTGATCAGGAATTGAAGAATAAGAATAATTAATTCCATATTAGATACGTTTATTTTTAAATATCACACAGTTATGATCATGCAGTATTAACAACTGGGTGACAAGGTTTCCAGCATAAATTATTGCTACTCATAATCATATCAATTTTAGTCACACGTTTTCAAAATTTGTCTTATATAATATATATTTCGGAATAAAATAGCTAGAGCGAACAATTGTGGTTTCAATAAATATATAATTGTAACCACTTTACAATTATATTCTAATCCTGTGTAATTTTTTGTTTCTATGCCTCTTGTAATCTATATTCACACCTCCTAACTTACATTTCAAGTTGCAAATTTTGATCTCAATTTGTTTCCATGCTCATTTTGTTCACACCTGTAATTCGTTCTATTCCTGCGTCTCTAAGCCTCTTGTAATTGATATCAAGTTGAAAATAATTATCACCTTTTATTCGCCTTGAAAACTATTTCTCCAGTTATCAAATATTAATTTTGCATACGTTGTAACTGTTATCTAATCCTAGGCAATCTTGTCTCTAAGCCCCTTGTAATCTATATTCGTACCTTCAAACTTTCATATATAGTTGAAAATTATTATCATCTTCGTTACTATGTGGAATTAAACGAATAAGAATTGTATCCATGTAAACTTATCTATATAAATGCGATTGTACAGCTCTTGAGAATGAAATGGCTGAAAAGATATCTTTGCTGAACTTCTTGTTCTTCTCAATCTAAGATTGGATGGAACAATAGTCAGCCCACACTTTATCATTGTCCAAATCGTTTTATTTTCTTGAACAATCTGTTACGTAATCAACCTGTGCACACGCTTATATATATATATTCTCTGTCTATCCAACTTCCCTTTGTTGTTTGTTGCCACTTTCTATATCTCCCATATCATAGGCGTTGCGTCATTCCAATTGCACATGTGCGGTGTTGAATAGATAAACAAATATTCAGTGATTAGCCTCTCTGCCTCGCCATCAAACTATATTACGTTTTAATACTCTCACCCTGTCCCACCCACCCTATTTTGTGATCACATGCAAGTGAGTGCAGTGCAATGCAATGGTTGGGCTTTTTTCTAGGTTATTTAACTCACCAGGGTCAATTATCCTGAGTCTAGCTTTATTTTTATATTCCAATAATCTGGTTGCCCCCGACCTATGTAATTGACCTCTGAGTCATTACATGGAATTTGGTAAATTATATTATTTTCCAACAAAGTGTATCTCTGAGGGAGTTAGTTGGTTGGTTTGAAAAACAACCTTATTCCAGCCTCATTGAGAATTCTACATAAGATCTCTGACTTCCCTTCTTTATACGGGAGTGCTACAGAGACTTTGAATTCTTTACTTTATTCGTCACTTATTGCAAGTCTTTGTTTTTCTATAGTTCTTCCTATATTTCTGAGTGAATTCTATTATTATTATAATCATTGTTCCCTTGGGTTCCTAGTGGGACATAGGGCTTCAACTGCACGTCTTCACTTGCTTCTGTCTTCTGCTGTACTTTTCACCTGTATCCATGTTAGTCCATACTGTTTCAAGTCCTCTTCACACGATCTCCTCCATGTCACCCTTGGACGTCCCACTCGCCACTTCCCTTTCACGTTCCACTCGAGCTGTGGCCTGACGCGCGATGTCACCCAGCGGCCTCGTCAGCTCAGCGAGTGTCCAATACATCTCCTCTTTCTCCTGCATATTTGTTGGGCGATTGGTTCTTGTTTTGTTTGTTCCCATAGTTTCTTGTTGGTGATTCTTTGCGGCCATCTGATCTTTAGTATAGAGCGAAGACAGCTGTAGATAAAGGTCTGCAACAGGCTGTTGGAAATATTCTTTGTGACACACTGGCCAAGTTTCTGATCCGTATAGAAGAAGTGACTTGACGTCGTTTGTATTGAAAATCTGAATTTTGTTGTTGATGCTGAGTTGAGTGACGAAGATTTCTAGATTGGTTTCAGGTTGATGAATGTGTTTCTCGCTTTCCCGATTCTCGATTTGACATCCTCGTCCGTTCCTCCTGTAGTAGAGATAATGCTCCCCAGATAAATGAATGAAGTAACCTCTTTCAAATCCCTCCCGTTGATGGTGATTGGCGCTAGATGTTGCTGCTGCTGTTGTTGTTGTTGGTTGGTTATTTTCATAACCTCCGTCTTGTCTATGTTCACCTGTAGTCCAGTCTTCACCGGCTGCTTCTTCGACCAGTTTGTCGGTTTTTGCTTGTAAGTTTTCGATTTTGTGTGACATCAAACATAAATCATCCGCGAAATCCAGTTCTTCTAGGTTCTTCACGTCGGTCCAGGATATCCCTGTCTTCTCGTTTCCCCCTGTCTGACGCATAATCCAGTCCACCACAATCAGGAATATCATTGCTGATAATAAGCACCCTAGTCTGACTCCTTTGTTTACTCCAAACGCCTGACTGAGTTTTCCGTTGTGGATCACTTGACATGTGCCGTTGTCGTACAGTTGTTGAATAAGGTTGATGAATATTTGGGGTAGGCCGTAGTACTCGAGTAGTTTCGAAATTACTTCGCGGTCAACGCTGTCGAAGGCCTTCTCAAAGTCTATAAATTTGAGGTAGAGGTTTGATTGCCATTCCATGCTTTGTTCGATGATAATGCGTAGAGTTGCAATTTGGTCAGAACATGATTTGCTTTTCCTGAATCCTGCTTGTTCTGGTCGGAGTTCTGTTTCCAGTGCGTCCTTTATCCTCTCCAGGATGATGCGACTCAGGATTTTACTTGGCGTCGACAGGAGTATGATTCCTCGCCAGTTCTTGCAGAGTCCTAGGTCGCCCTTCTTTGGTAGTTTCACGAGGTAACCTTTCCTCCAGTCAGTAGGCACCTTCCCCTCTTTCCAGACCTTTTGCAATAATGGAGTCAGCATATCTGCTGTCGTCTCTGGGTCCGTTTTCAGTGCTTCAGGGGGTAATCCAGCTTTCAGAAGATTGATTTCATTCAAGACTTCAGCTTTCGTTGGAGGATTGGTGTCAACTTGCAGTTGTGTATGCGGTGTTGTTGGTATTTCTGGACGGGTTGTAGGTGGTGGTCGGTTCAAGAGTCCTTTGAAGTGGTCCGCCCATTGTTTAATCTGTCTTTCTTCCTTGGTAATTGGGTTCCCTTGTCTGTCTTTTGTGGTTTTAAATGTGTTGATCTCTTCCCGGATAGAGCTTTGGTTATCTGATATAGTGTCCTCAGGTCCCTTTTGCCTGCTGCCTTCTCAGTTTCAGTGGCCAAGTTGTCGTAGAATTGCCTTTTGTCCCTCCTGGCACTCTTCTTCACTTCTTTGTCCAGTGCTGTGTAAGTTGAGCTCAGCGTCTCTTTCTCTTGTCCGTCTTTGCATTGAATCATTTTCTCTTTCACCATTCTCCTCTCCTCTATTTGCTTCCAAGTGTCCGTTGAGAGCCATTCCTTGTCTTGTCTCTTCTTTTTTCCTAAAACTGTTGAACACGTCTCGTTGAAAATCACCTTCTGAGAGTTCCAATGGTCTTCCACACGTGATTCCTCAGTGATGCCACGTAGTGTTTCGTGCTTTGCTCTGACAGTTGCAGTGAAAGTGTCCTTTTTGGTTCTGTCCTTCAGTTTTTGAGTGTTGAACTTGCATTGTGGCCTATCCCCAGCTATCTTCGAGGCTTTTAGCTTCACCTTGAAAGTCCCTTGTACTAGATAGTTGTCTGAACCCACATCTGCTCCTCTCCTCGATTTTGTGTCCAGTAAGCTCCGTCCCCACTTCCTTGAGATTGAAATGAAGTCTATCTGGTTTTTGGTGTATCCATCTGGTTAAATCCATGTCGCCTTGTGTATATCCTTGTGTTTGAACACACTGCCACCAATCACCAAATCATTGAAGGCGCAGAAGTCTGAGAAGAGTTCACCGTTGTCATTGATTTCACCGAGGACCTCGCAACCCATGATGAGCTCTCTTCCTGTATTGTCTCCTCCCAGCTTTGCATTCATATCACCCATCAGGATTTTGATATCGCCATTTGGGACGTTGTCCATTACTGCTTGTAGTTGTCTGTAGAAAGCCTCCTTCTTCTCTTGTTCTGAGACGTTTGTAGGCGCATAGCACTGAATGAGTGTAACCTTCTTTCCTTTTGAGTTGAACCTGGCTGTCATTATCCTGGAGGAGATTGGTTCCCACTGCATGAGAGCTTTGGCTGCTGTTGGTGACGTCATTATGTCTACTTCCTCGGTGTGCTCGTGATT